AATGCACCCTATAGTTCTACCATTGTGTGACAGCTGGTAACGGCTGTTACTAAGTAACTATCAAAATCGAATCTTATCCTTATCTTCTAATCACAACTGAAGCGGCTCAACTACCTCACGGACATTGACAGCCCTGGTACAGGCGATCGAGCAGTCTCTTCGACGCGGAGAGCGGCAAGATATTACCACTATCAATTTATCACGTACCTTGTCAGTCGCTTCAAGTACATGAAATCATTGTCACATGATCATTCAAGCACGTGGGTCACATGATCACCCACGCGACTATATATATCTTTTGATGCAAAGAATATGGCAGAGTTCAGCACCACAATCCCGATGTGTATTGCCAGCTCTCATATGAGTGACTGTCTTAACCCTTAGTAGATAAATTAGTTAAGTTAGGAAAGTAAGTTATAAGTTAGGAAGTTCATTATAAGTTAGTTATTAGTTAGGAAAGATATTGATATATGCTATTCATTGTAGTCCACTCTCTCTGTAACTAAGAGTGTCTACCGTATTTATTCTATGTGTTACTTTAACCAACAATTTAAGTGTCTTTATTTTGTAACCCTTAGCATTAGGAATGGCCGTTTGGCTCATGGCTTAGAATCAAGTATAAGTAATTAAATGATGTCACAAATACTAATCTCAAGGTTACAGTCCTAAGTAAATCTTAATCACTAAAGTATCTAGACGTGAGCATTAATAATCGCACTACGTATGAGCATCGTATCAATTATCCTAGTACGGCTCCCTCCCTAGCGTATTGATGAGGTTAGCTCGAACCCGGAGTCATTTTATATCAACAGCAGTCTTTAACATCTCTGATATATTGGATACGAAACATGTATCAAGTAGTTTCATGTCTCATGGTCATGAATCACTCGTCACGTGTCATTCCATGTATAACTATAAGTGTTACCTGGGGACCTCAGGCTATCATGTTCATAAACATAATAGAGATTAGGCGGAATGACAGGCTGAGCGCGGCCCAGTAAGTATAAGTGCCGTTTTAGAATTATTTAGGACGTGATGTTCGAGCAGTTCTGTTATCTTCTATGTTACTTTTATAATTAGTATTCTACTTTCAAGAGTGATACCTCATAGTTATATCGTGTTTCCAATTTGTACGAGAACATCGTAAAACAATATATACATATATTATATATATATATATTTTAACATGGTTTTTAAGGCACCTGAATATGGCGATTTTGTTAACTGATATGCTGAACATATCAGCTAACATATCAGCTAATATAATATATCAGCTAACATATCAGCTAACATATCAGCTAACATATCAGCTAACATATCAGCTAACATATCAGCTAACATATCAGCTAACATAATTTCAGTGAACATGTCAGCGAAAATATTAGAGGACAGTCACACCATCTATTTCGAGGCTCAAGAAAACGGAGTCAAAGCCAGTGTACTCGCAGACACCTTCATCGGATTCCTCCTGATCCTCGTCGTGCTGGTCGGGATCCTAGGTAACACATCAGCAACGATATACTTCTGGAAAAAAACTAAAACAAACTCTCCCAGATCTCGTTTACATGACACCATCATCGTCATAACTGACTTGTGTACATCCACCGTGGCCATCGGCACCATCCCCTCTGTGTTCAACAAAAGGCTTCCAGTCCTGTTAACGTCATGTGGTGCCTGGGGTGTGCCCTTCAGCCACCTGCAACGCTTCACCATGTTCATGGTTATCATGATAAGTGCAACACGAACCATAGCAATCTTTCGACCTTTTTACGAAATAAAAAGGAGAGGGGTGATTGCAGCCTGTTTTGTTTTTGAGCTATTCTGGATTTTACTTGATGCGATTGTTCTAGGGACCGGAAGCCTGCAGATGATACACTATGCCCCAGGAGTACTAATATGCGGCATGATCCCTGGTCAGGGCGCTCCAATCTGGATTTTTAACTTTATCGTCTACATCATCATGCTCTGGTTACTGCTAGGGTCACTGGTGGTCTTCGCAAGCTTCATCCTCAGCCTGCGAGCCATTGCCGCCAGAGCACGCCTTGCCACCCAAAATGCAAACGAAAGGAATTTCTCGGAAGTGTCTATATCGATCACCCTCTTCACGGCTGTATTTCTCCTCTGCAACCTTCCTCTTCTTGTCCTTCAAACGAGGTGTAACATTATCTACCGAACCGGAACAACTGACTACGGCACCTACATGACAGCTGGTACGGACTTCTAAAATCTCATCTGTTTCTGACCTCCTTCAACGCTACCGCTAACCCTGTATTCTACTTGTTCAGGATGTGGAAATATAACCGGACCTGGTTCCTACCTGAGCAAGGTCATCCCTATAAGTATAACTTCTACTACCAGGATTACTCACCTCCAACTGTACCAGCTCTAAACACTGCTGACAAATCTAGCTGCTGGTACAAGAGCACTGGACAATAATATGGATTTTGTCAGAAGTGTCTGCTTTATACTCAGACGATGAGCCCTTCAGCACTCGGTCCCCACAAAAGATAATTTTTAGAATTATAGTTAAGACTAGTAGTACAATTTGTGAAAAGGAACTCATGGTCAGTCTATAACACAGTCTATAACACAGTGTATAAAACACATGAAAAGCAGTGTGTTCTTTACTCCTTACTCTTAGTCTCCAGCTTTGTTATCAAAACACGTGATTTGATCACGTGATTTTATCTCATTGTAAACAGGGTTTATTTGCTTGATTATAAATATACGTTTAAAGTATTAACACAAGTTAACTAATAATATTATGTATATGATCGAGTACAGATTCGAAGTGGAACATCGAGTTTCGTTCTGGCGAGGTCTGGCGAGCTGGGACTGGGAGGAACCTTCGAGATCGGCTGGAAGGGCTGATCTAAAAGTAAGCTCTGCTCAGTATTTATAGCTAATATAAGTAGACTAACGAGCTAGTTGACGAATATATGACATCTAACTTTACTCTGCAAATCATGCCTCCCACTCTAAAATTCCCTAAAATTCGAGGTTTTCAAGGTTGTTTTTTTGGTTTTCAAACCCTTTTCAAGGTTTTCAGATTGCCGTTTTCAAGGTTTTCAAAACGAATATGTATGTTTGCAGTACGAAAACTTGTTAATTTTATCTTTTTTCTCAAAACTTATAAAAGACAGATTAATTTAAAACTTGTAAAACGTGTTTTAAAAACATGTACTTGGATTATAAAAAATTTTGTAACTGAATTATATGCTAAACCAATAGGATATCAATACAGAAGGTTCACAGCAGTTGATAACACACTTGGTTATTAGTAATATTTTGATTTCAAAACATTGAACAAATTTAGTGCCATTAAAGATGGCACGAATTTTAAGTTCAAAGTTATTTCGGATATCTCCAGTCCATTGGGATTGTTAAAAACATAAATCAAAATGAGGTGACTGGGGGGGGGGGCAAGACTGTGATTTTAAGTAAGACAACTGCCGAAGGCGAAATTTTTGTAAATTTTTAGTTGTACTTGTAATTCAAGGTTTTCAAGCGTTTTTGTGAAAATTCAAGGTTTTCAAGGTTTTTGATTTAAAATAGCAGAATTCAAGGTTTTCGAGGTTGGCTGGGAGGCCTGCTGCAAATGCATTATCTTACGTCGCGATTTTTGACGCGATTTTGCTTGGTCTAGTTTGGCATGTCGCGGAGCCTTGACCATTGTTAATGATCTGGCCCGGCGCGCGCTACTTCGTAGCACTTGCCATCGGGCCAACATTTCGAGAAGAAAGCGGCGCGCGCTACTTCGAAGAAATTTAAACGAGTAACATCCGTCAACGCGGAGCCACGATGTTTGGCCTAAATTATCGCAATTTTCTTTTGTCCTTGTTGCCAGAGATCCTTCCTAATATTTGAAACTTTATTGTCTGCTTTAAATGACATCATAAGATGATATTCAAGGAAAACGCTCGAAATGGCATAAAAGCCATAGTCCCACCACTGAACAACAAATTGCAACGATCAGTGGCCACTCATTACTCATTACGAGAATTCCTTTGTGCTTTGGAGTGAATGCAGCGAGACTATGGAACCTGCTACCACAGCAAGTGATCAACAGCCTAACTGCTTGATGGATGTTACTCGTCTATAAAATTTCTTCGAAGTAGCGCGCCCCGCTTTCTTCTCGAAATGTTATGGCCCGACGGCAAGTGCTATGAAGTAGCACGCGCCGGGCCAGACCATTAACAATGGTCAACCTAACTGCTCTAGAACCCTTCATCATTCATTCAAGTATATCACTTGCTCGTTTTTTGGAGATGTTTCCCGATACCCCGCCAACCAAAGGATACACCGCCATCACCAACAACTCACTCTTGGAATGGAATCTACAGAAAGATTTGAACCATGAATGATTGGAGGACGTACTAGTTACTGTTGTCCAGAAGCAATCCCTGCCAAACCAACCTAAAGTACCTAAAGTAAGTTTATGCTGATTTCAAACAGTCTCTAATTTGTAAATTTTGGTGTGTTTCGAATTTCACTGTCCTCGATTTGACTCTCTTTATAATTATACGATTCAATACTCAATAGAGAGTAGCACAAGCCGGCGATATATTGCACTCATGATCATGCTCATTGTTCATGTTCCGGGTCATTTTGAATTATATCTGGGATGGAGACTCTGAAGATTTATTTTTGACTTAATCACTCCAAGTTTCAAAATTTTTTCCCGTACTAAAGTACTAATACTGAATACTTGCGCTTCCAACTGGTATCACTTCTTTATTTTATAAGTATTTATTCCATGTACTATTCCGTGAACAGTCAACATTGCAAATGTTATATGTTATATATTTTGCCTTTTACGTATTTCGGAGTGTTCGTGCATGCACCGAGCAGTAAATTATAAATGACATCAAATTAAAACTCAAAAACTTTATAAATGAAAATATAAAATCAACAATTATTTTTAGACTCTAGTACTCATTGAAAATTACATAAATTGCAAACGATGGTAAATGATCTCTACATCAAACAATCATCAAACAGGAAAACACAAATATTATAATTTAAAATTATCATCTCATTGCATTAACTCCATATGATATTTAATATTTAACTTGAAACTAAAAAGAGTTAAAGTATTACAGTAACAGTCAAACCTCTCTATACCAGGCCTCTCAGGGGAAACGAAAAGTGCATGGTATTGAAAAAATCGGTATCAACTGTCCGGTAAATAGAGGTTTGTATTATTGCAATCCCCGGTATAAGTACTATTATGGCCTTATATGCATGTATTGTGTCGTATTTTAATGCAATACAGCTAGACATGTACTTCAATCAACACCAAATGCGATATGAGCTTTAATAAATTATATTTCTTGCACAAAAACAAACTAAATAACAAAAAGGCTCGGTATCCGGCATAGAGAGGCACGGTATCTTGGTATCTAGAGGTATATTATTTTAGAGGTTCGACTGTATCTGAATTTTCATGCGCGTTAGTTGTAAATGAAAAGAAAATTGTATTTCAATAGAAGACAGGTTCACGAAATTATGGAGCTTTATTATTGACAATTTCAGCTCGCGCTAAAAGTGTAAGTAAAACCCATATACTGTGTCTGTAGCACTAGCAAGCGGTTCTCGGGTTCTCCCACCACTCTTATAATATACGATGCTAACAGTATTAGTTAAGCTTATTGTCTATTAATTTTTGTACGAACTGTTTGAACAAATCGAAGTAAAACCACGCTATGAAGCTGTCAGGATTGGAAGGAGATTAGCCGACAAGACCAGACCTGTCAAAATATCGGTCTCAAATACCAACAATGTCCACGAGATATTATTGAAATCGAATAAACTGAAACTGAGTCAGCACCACAAAAAAGTTTTCATTTCTCCGGATCGGTCACCTGAGGAGCAAACCAAACACCATCTGCTGGTATTGGAAATGAAACAGAAGGCAAACCATGCTCTGACATGGTTAGTAGCTGGCACTTGTGTCGGCTGCTAACCATATGGGCGGGATATAAGCACATTATATTATTTCATTTCATTTCATTTCATACTTTGCTTGCAACCAGTGCACTGCAGAGTGGGTCTAATTATTCATTCCCAGAGTGAAGAGCAGCGTTCCGTTTTGTGAACTTCTTGGCTACTTTCTTGACAGTCAGTATGTTACGAAGGAGCATGTCTGCGGTTGCTTGTTCAGAAGCTGCCCGACGTAATAGATTCATCGACCTGAAAATATGCCCCGGTTAAGTGTTCAAATTAAATCCGCGGAAATAATTGACCGCAAAAATAACTGGTTTTACAGTAATACTAAGAGTAAAGGTAATATCATGAATAAATCCACTCTCATGAGAATACATGCTCCCCATTTGCATCTGGTCCGAGTCTGTTAGCACAGATCACCTGGGAGTGGTAACACCATGAAACCGTTAATTGCCTGTCAGTGCTATATCACTGGGGGGTCGGTTGCTGTGGTGGCGAGAGGATGCAATTGCTGGGTGGTGCTCGGTGATGCTGTCTTGTGGCAGGGTCATCTGTGTGTCACTCACGGTTCACCATTTTGTCCAAGTCTTGGTTGCCCTGTGTAATCGAGCATTTGCTTGGTGATCTTGTCTCTGACATGATCACTTACGGTTTAATTTTGATTCCCTATGGGCTTCAGAAGCTCTTCATGCTTTAACTTTACGTATCGAACCTAACCACCAGCTTGCTGGTGTCTGGACGGAGCGCTAACTTCTTGATGTCGGTGCTGCCTCTGGATCGGGTGCGAAGGTCCGGCAAACCATCCACCTTAAATCAAACCGCTACAGAAACGTCTACAGTGTCATTCAATAGTATTATACGTGGAGGCGCAGGTGGAGTGATGACGGCGACTAGGCAAAGCCGAAAGGACCCTAGTAGCTTGATGTCTGTTTGCAACTCCCGTAAGAGCCGACGTAAACACTGTAAATACAGAATTCCTTCATCAGATTTGTCATTTGTAAACAGACAGTCAAGTATGTCTAATCCTGTAAATATTGTAAAGAATCCTCTCTGTATCAGTACATGGAATGTTACTTCTCTTGTCAGTAATTCCAGTAAGATGTATCAATTAGGAAAAGGTGTTGATGATTATGGACTAGAGCTCCTTGGGGTAACTGAAACACATATGGCTGGATCAGGAACTCAGACTTTGAGCAATGGGGCTGTTTTGGTTTATTCTGGCAGGAGCGATGGAGTACGGAGAGAAGGAGTTGGTGTTGTTCTTTCCAAAAAGATGAAGAATACTCTCATATCATACACCCCTGTATCAGGACGGGTTATGACTGCCCGTTTACATAGCAAACACATCAACATTAGTGTTACAGTTGTGTATGCTCCAACTGAGGATGCTGAAATCAGTTTAAAAGACTCATTCTACAAGGAATTGAATGATGTTCAATCGGGACTACCTGCTCATGATATAAAAATAGTTTTAGGAGATTTTAATGCTCGTGTTGGAAGGGATACTGATGCTCACCCTGGTGTTATAGGAAAACACTCATATCACACAGAATCAAATGATAACGGAAAACGGATGCTAGATTTCTGTACAATGCACCAGCTGACGATTGGAGGCACACTCTTTGAACACAAGGATATCCACAAGACAACATGGAGATCCCCAAATGGTAACACCGTCACTCAAATTGACCATATGTGTATTTCGACGAGATGGAGCCATTCATTGCTTGATGTCAGGAGCATGAGAGGAGCAGATATAAATACTACTCACTATCTGGTTAGAGGATATGTATCTATTAAACTTAAGTGTCCTCAGAAAAGAAAGAAGCGTGTAAGACAGCCTGCTTTAGAGCACCTGCGTGATAGATCTAAGAGCCAGGAATATAGTAACAGAATAGCTGAAGAGTACTATAACAACGATCAGGAGCATGGAAACTCTCCTTTAGAAGAAAAGTGGAAAAATTTGAGAGATATAATAACTGATGTTTCATTTGAAGTTCTGGGTGAAAGGGGCCGGAAAAAGAGAACAGAACATCTCTCAAGGGATACTAAGAATCTCCTAAAAGAAAGAGGGGAGATTAAAAAGAAACCCAGCACTGCTGAGAACCGTGCTAAGTACTCGCGGATTAACGGTCTTGTTAGGCAGAACTGTAAAAGAGATGATAATGCTTGGGCTGTTAGAATAGCTGCAAGGAATTAGAAGATGCTGCCAAGCAGGGTCAACAAAGAGATGTTTGGCAGAAAATAAAATCCCTTACAAACAAGAGAGTTAACAGATCTGCGGCAGTGCGGGATAAGAATGGGACGCTTATATCAGATCCCGAAGCTCAATCACATCGCTGGGCCGAATATTTTGAAGAACTCTTGACGCCAGCAGCAAATGCGGTGGATTTCTCTATATTGGATCAGGATGAACAGTTACTTTCTTTTGAATACCTTAGTAATGATGATGAACCACCGTCCTTGTTTGAAATTGAGGAAGCTATCAAGAAGTTGAAGAACTACAAGAGTGCTGGAATTGATGAAATTTCAAATGAGCAGTTAAAGTACGGTTCTCCTGGACTTCTGCCTTGGTTAAAGGATCTTTTTGAAAATGTGTGGAAAAGTGAGGATATTCCCAATGATTGGAGAAAAGGAATAATCACCATCATCCCAAAGAAAGGGGACCTCACATATTGCAACAATAACAGAGGTATAACTTTACGCTCAACTATATCAAAGTTATTCCAAATTGTGTTGTTAAAAAGACTGAGTAATGGGCTTGAAAAATTACTCAGAGAGAATCAGTGTGGTTTCAGGAGAAACCGTTCTTGTATAGATCAGCTGTACTCACTTCATTGTATAATACACAATTGTATAGAATTCAACGTCCCTTTGTACATAAACTTTATTGATTTTAAAGCTGCTTTTGATTCAATCAATCGTGACTTTATTTGGAAAGCTTTTGAACATTATGGTCTTCCGACAAAATATATCAATGTTTTCAAAGCGTTCTTTAGAGCAACTGAAAGTGCAGTTCGTGTCAATGGAGAATTGACAAGATGGTTTGATGTCGATTCGGGGACTGGACAAGGTGATGTGCAAGGGCCCCCCATTTTTAATCTTGTACTTAACTGGGGATTAGAACTTGCAGAGAAGTTTAAGAATATATCCCGTGGTTTTACACTTCAGTACAGACAAAGTTCCAGACAACCGGAAAAATGTGTCATTGATCTTGACTATGCTGATGACATCGCAGGAATGGATGACACTGTTGAAGGACTGCAAGAAACTACGGACAATATTGCGAAATATTGTGGGCTTGGGGGTTTAAAGATGAACGCAAAGAAAACAGAGATCATGGTCATTGGGAAAGATACATCGCAGCACCCACTCCCAGAGAATAGGACCATAGATATAACTGTCGATGGAAACTCTGCAAAGCAGGTCACTCAATTCACTTATTTAGGTGCCAAAATTACATCAGATGGCAAGATTGATAAAGAAATAAGTGTCAGGATTGGAAAAGCAACCGGAGCTTTTAACCAACTCAACAACATTTGGAAGAATAAGAACATAAGCATTAACAACAAAGTGCGAATCTACATTGCAGCTGTTCTTACCATTCTGACCTATGGATGTGAGATATGGAACACGACTCAAGTGCAGACAAGAAGATTGGAGTCTTTCCATCAGTACTGCTTAAGAAGAATCCTGAGAGTGAGGTGGTTCCATCGAGTAAGTAATGAGGATGTTTTAAGAAGGGCATCAATAACTGCCCTTGCTGACATAATAACAACAAAACGGCTGCGTTGGTTTGGACATGTCAGTAGAATGCCTGAAGATCGGTTACCCAACTATTTACTTGAATGGAAACCCAAGCATGGGAAGAGATCAAGAGGCAGGCCTAGGAAGAGCTTAAATGATGTATTCATTGAGGATGCTGAGCAGAGATTGGATCGTAATGGACTCACGATTGATTGTATGAGAAGATTAGCTGCAGACCGAAACGGATGGAGAAATATTACCCGCCGAAGTTGTATAATACAAAGTAATGACGCAGTCGACGCAGACTAATCCTTTTGGATGGAGATCTCGCCATGTAACATGTATGTATGAGAATACTCTTATCATAAAAACATTGAAACAAAAATGGCCACAAAAAGGAGGACTTCAGATAAAGTTCTTGATAAAAATGATAATTTGACTAACACGTGAGGAAGGAGGTTCTTCTCGTTAAACTTCTTACTTCTGGGAATGAACTCATCCACATCTCTATCTGCTTCACTCTCGTCATCTTTACGCAGATATTTGTTAGCTAGCCTCTGTTGCTCTTCCGCTATCAACTCTGGAAAAAGAGCGGTATATTCAGTAACCATAACATGGTTATGTAATGTCTTAACTTATATAGTCCAATACTGCACGCCCATGCCCAGTTATAGTTCATGGGCTTCTGGAGATCCAGTGACGGGGTTAGATATCAATTAGGCTACAAAACGTCGACCGTGCGAACATCAAGAAGATAAGGATAATTGCATGTTCATAAATACCTTACATTTTTCAACAGATTGATCGATGTGTCAGAAAATATAACATGAACTCTCAAACCACTCACCGAGGGATTGGGCGTTAAATCTGGGCAGTCCTTCTTTGCCCATGACCTTCATATGATTGGGTGGGTAGGGTATAACCGGGTCACGTGTCATGTGCTTGTTGTCTAATTGGGAGTAAGCCAGGATACTACCACACTCTTGGCCCACCGAAACTGTTCTCTGAAAATGTTATGTCAGTTTAAAGTTATCACAGATTTGAGATTTAAGTACGCTTCCGCAGAGATGGATTCAAGCAGGAGTAAAAAAGTTTCGGAAATCTTGTCATGAAGATATATTACTGATTGCTGGTCACTATTTTCAATAACATCTAAGCCATTGGCCAGTACATTGTATATAAATAGCGGTTAAACTGAATAGATCGCTATGGTTAATGAATTTATATCGCTTTTTTTTTCATTTCTGTCATAGTAAATGCTAACAACTTGAACGAACTTTTAATTAAAATGTCTCGATAGTCGGACGCGCGCCCCGTTATCTGCGCGCTTATGTAGCCATAAAATGTCAGCTAGCTGAACACAGCATCAACAGCTACACGGACACGAAGAAAGAGTCGTCAAGATCGTATTATCAGGATTATTTAATGAATCGCTGCCACGTGCCATAACAAACCTGCCCATAATTGTCAAGAATGCTATTAATTAAGTTCCTACCATAGGTTGCCTAGGTCTCGTTGTCCTATGGTAAGCTTTACCAAGAATGTAACTTTTATCACAGTCCTTTGCTATTTTGAAAGCCTCATCTTCTTCAAGTTGTCGGTCGATATTGTCGTTACTGGACGTAATAATGGTAAAAAGAGTAAACAGAAAATTTAATCAGAGTTCAAAGTTAAAAGAATAAATTAAAGGTAACCGATGATCATCCGAATAAAGCGTCTTTAAAACTTACGGGTGATAAGCATTTTTCGTGAATGCCATGATGGCTTTCACACTCCTGCAAAAATAACAAATTCAGCGCTGGTAAAATAATTGAAAGCCAATTAAATTGACAAGTAACCTACTGAAGTACCACGTTGAAAAGATACACGGCGCGAATAAAAGTGTAAATGATCAACTGTTTTGGTGGAATTTGAAGAGATCTACTTTCACTCACTTCCAAGGGTTGAACTTTCTTTTTCTCCTCTTAAACTTGTTGATCTGATCTTCTGTAAGCAGAGACCTAACATCGTCAGGTAAAATAAAGGGGTCAGCGCTCGTAGGTCTTAGCTTCCACTCCTTGCTTTGCCCAAACGTTCCTGAATGATCCTTAGATTCTAGTACATTATCATTATTATGGTGCATAGTGAATTCTAGAAAACTCTTCTTGCACCTAATATATTCTAGGTGATTACAGTAAATTCTAGGCCACTTTACCAGCTGACATTTAAATACTTTTATGACGCCACTTGGTAATTTATGTCGGGTTAAATGTCGGGTTGGAGATCAAGCCATTTTAGTATTCTTAATCCCACTTTAATCCGAATATCTTACTTTTTCTCCGGCCGTGATAGTAAAAACATTAACATAATTAAAGAATATTCAGATTCCCACTAACCGATATAAGTACCATTAAGAGTCCAGACTCTAATAGAACAGTCAGTACTACTGGTAATAATGAGGTTCTTTACAGGCACCAGCTCCACATTTGTTATCGTACTGAGATGACAGTGGAATTTAGCAGATTTGGGAGGCTCGCTGAAGAACACAGCAGGCTGTCTGTGCATGGCGTTTGTTGTGTACCGCTTTGCACGTGGCACGGCTACACACCATTTTGATATGTCGTACACCTGGGAGGTAGAAAATTGTAGGAAGTAGGAATGTGAGAACCAAAAGTAGCTTTACTTGTATACGGTATAGTATATCGGCGGAATCAAGCGAATGGAATACTGAACGTGTTTTTCACAATTATAAAGTTGTAACGAGGAAGACTGACCGAGACCCAGCCAGTAGTATCTCCCACAATCAGTACACTGTTCTAGAGTCTGTTGTTATAGCGTGGATGCTGTCGTTAGCTGTCCCTCCCTGAATCACAGGGAACTGTCCTAACATTCCTGAAATTATTTAGATCTGTGTGTACAGACGACCAGTTATCCCAAGATCACCGGACACCAATTAATCAGTGACTTTTGAATTGATTAGGTGGCCATCATTGAAATTAAGATGATTTGAGTCGATGTACTTAGAACTTTAGAACTTTGGTTCAGACAAACTTTGAATTTAAGAATCACATATCATGATGCAGGTCTGCTCTCTGCTCAACTAGAGAATCACAATAAGGGATGGAAACCGGGGAACCCGTGCTTAAGAGAGCGGTTCTCGTTTGAGGGGACGTGAGACTAACATATTTTGAACAAAGATAAAACCTTGAAATTAATCAATCCGAAATATGCGGGACTTCATAAATCATTGAAATAAATGACAATGGAGCCAGGTAAAGTTAAAGTAAAGTTATGAGGAATGAACTTGAACTTAAAATGAAAATGTGCAGTATTTGCGTAATACAAGATTACTAATACTTTACAAAGAAGTGTAAATCACCTTTCCACTTACAGCTGATGGGCATACCGCTCACTTGATTTTCGCAAACAAACAATTATCAACGACTCAATTTCAACCGCTATGTTTTCTCAAATGCTGTTGTTGATTCCAAAAGTTATACGACCTCCAATACCTCCAATTTCCCAGTAAGACAGTCTCAGTGCATGATGACAGCTTTACAATTGAGTTCTTCACTGTTTATCACTGGTAACACAGCTCGATTGCCACCACCGACTGAACCCTGTCTCAATACCGAAACGTGACCAATCAATGGAAGCCTCCATCACATTTTTCTAATGTCACAACCCATATATTTCCTCGCCACTTTTATTGCCAGCCAGTTTTAAAACATATTATGTTTAAGATGCGGCATAAAAAGTGAGTTACTCTACAAAACTCGAATTTCTCAGTAAGTCAGTATAGTTCATTTGGCGTTAAACTTAAATGTTAAATTGTTTATAATGGCGACATTTAAATAGGTTACAACTTACAAAGCAGTGAGTATAGGTCGGTCTGTTTTGCACTTAATCTAACTTCTCGCAGTTTTTGTATCGAACCTGGTCAGTCGACAGTGATATTATATAAACATTCATGATAATATGTAAACTAGAGGGCGGGGCCTTAGGACTCTCCTTTTATATATTAGTAAGATTTGTGCATTGAATGAATTTGTTGAGTTCAGCATGAATATGATGATATAAATTATCGAGTAGGAGATTGACTCCAGCTCCCCAACTGAATTTATTCATTAAAACTCTCGTAATCCTACAACTGGGCTCAGGATATATCCATATGAAACGTTCCCGCGCCCATTACGTTGACTCATCATGACGAATTAAGTTGGATGACAATAATTTTAATGAATAAATTCAGTAGTAATTACAGTCACGTTCCCATAAACTAACGCTCTGTTTGTACCCACAACTTGTGACGTCACATCTTCCTCGGTTGTATAATAATTGTCTTAGTTTTAATCAGTTTATCCTTTTATCTTAGATTTACAGCCATGACCGGTGCTATAAGTATAAATACAGAGGGTAACTAGTGAGCTCCCAGTGATTATAGCAGCCATATTATCTCACCGTTTAGAAGTAGCCTTACGATTCCACGTGCTCCTGAGCCTGGTAATAACCAGTAGTTAGTCGTGATACCAGGAGCTATTAAGTCGCACCGTGCGTCATTTAAAGGAGGGTTACTGAGCAATTCATAATCCACTATTTTCCAAATGTTTTGGAGTATAGATATAAAGTGTATCTGTTAGATATATTCATTGGATCAAAAATGCACTGATCATTGCGATTGGTGTGGCCACTGGAGACATCATACCATTATTATATGTGTTGCATTGTTTTAAATTTTGTTTAGAATATGCTTTAACCCATATTTATCACTGATCTAACAATGCAACTTTCGTGTCTGACGGATACTGATAGGTATTATACCATCTTATCTCGCGACTTAGAACAATAGAGTGCAATATATCAGATATCTTTACAAACATCTCCTGAATGAGTCTCTTGAGTAAGTCACATATATCACGATTGTATTGCACGGCAGATGGTTGCACTTGTAAGGTTACATGTAGGCCTTTGGTTATATTCGAGTTGTTGTGCAAATTCAAATAAACCCTTTATTTTTAACACAACAGTTTTTATTGTTAAGTTCTTTTTGTTTTTAACCTATAAGGTCATGTTAGAGATTGATGGGTCCCTTTTTTTCCCTACTAATTACCTACTTTTCACTGTCAATCAGTTATGACTTCATAAAATCCAAACTATAGCTTGCTTGCAGAAAATATTTCACCACAGTATTCCTATGACACTTCTCTACATATTCATGTCATCAGAAAATCCAAATATCAACTTTGGTGGAGCCAGTGACCATCAAAAAAACACAATTAAAGTGCTCCACTTGTGGGAAGGTGGATGTGGCATATCTGTATTTATCAATGTCTACAGGTGGAGAAGGCATATGGGAACACGTATTGTTTCGGTTGAGACACTTTTGGTGTACAACCTAGGTGGAGCGGCCAGTGTAAAATAGGTCAACTTATACCAAGTGAAAAAATGATCATATTATTATAATTTCTACTAAAACTTCATTGTAAACTCAATGGCACATATTTTTTAATACCATTTGTTTTGTTAGGAGGTCCCATAAGGTCCCAACTCAAGTGGAGCAGACTCATTCTAAAACTTGACTTGTTTAAAATCAGTCATTTTTCCATTAAACTTGTCTCGGACAGGGATTAGGTGGTTAATGATCTGTGAATATTATTCCAGACGCTAATTATCATAATACTATGGTGATTAAGACTGCCAAAAACTGCTCAACAAAGGTGGAGCTCGTATTTAAAAGCCTAAATTTTGGACGTTTAAAACCATCTTTTAAGAGTACTAAAATTAGAACTAATCGAACTTATAGCTTTCTAATATGTTTAATAGTTCACCCCTAAGTGATTTATAAAGTAGTGATTACCCTGGGATCAACCTGGTGGAGCAGAATTGGGTCTTCAGTTACTGTATTTAGGAAGAAATCCGTGGACTTAAATATCCCTCTCATATCTTGTCCCCTCAGCTAGCAATCCTAGTACAGTGGTATATAATAATTATATTGACCAGTTAGATCAACCTGGTGGAGCACTGGGAGCTAAATCTATATTACAGAGTGTTGCGTGAGAACTTTTGTAATACGTAATAGATTAAAATAGAGCTGAGTTTGAGAGTTTATAAATTAGAGACGTAAACTAGTGATTTTCTATTTACTGCTCCACCATAGTTGATCATAATTGGGAATGTTTGATCATTAAAATGAGTTAACAATTATCATATCTTTCTGATGGAATCATTGATTGGGTTGAAAATGTCTGTATCAACCTGGTGGAACACTTTAAACACATTTTTAGACGCTAAGTTTTTAGACGCTAAGTTGACGTTTGCTCCACCAGGTTGAGCAACCCTGGTCCTTTAGCCGTGCTAGATATTAAGATATGACAATTGTGATTGTAGTTAATGCAGTTTTAGGGCCATTTTGGGTTTGTATCAGCTGTGGTGGAGCCTCAGTTTTTGATATATTTCTACTGTTCAATCTGCATCAAAACCATAAATTAGAGACGTAAACTAGTGATTTTCTATTTACTGCTCCACCATGGTTGATCATAATTTGAGAGTTTTAATTATCAGAACAGGTGCTCAGTTATCACAACTCTCTTTAAATACAACTGACAGGCATCAAACAGCATGTCTCAGTCAGGTGGAGCACTTTTAAATCTTAACATGGTGTTGGTATGGTATAACATGGTGTTGCTCCACCGGGTTGAGCTAATTTACTAATTATTTACACTCATATCACATACCATGACACTTATCGATGGAAGGGACGAAGTTTTAAACACCATAGAGGTTGTTAACATATTTTTATATCAAGTTTATATTTACACTGTCAAATTTTCAAAAAATGCATTTTCAACACTTGTAGTTTAACTGAACCAACCTGTTGCTCCACCTTGGTTGAACTAGGTATGGGATAAAACCTTAATCCTGTGACATGCTTGAGATTCAGGAGCTTACAAATAAACAAGAATGGAAATCCAGTGACAATTCTAACCCCGGGTTGAGACAGCTTTAAGGTCTAAATTTGATGGCTCCACCAGGTTGAGACATATTTGAATTTAAAAACCGCATCATTGAACTGGAAATTTCTCAAGAATTCCGTGATATAACTGGCACTGCCTGAGGGATTTTAGTTTTTTTACCAAAGCCCTGCTCCACCCAATTTGCTCCACCTGATTAGAATGGCTATAGTTTCGCTCCAGGTTGAGCTTTTAATTTCTTTTCTTTTTTATGAGGAGGATGTGATTTTTCGCTACCTAAGCTATGTATCCAAATGTCACAGTATAGCTCCACTAACACAGGATGATTTATTAGAAAAAAGTAAAAAAGGGACCCATCAATCTCTAACATGACCATAATAGAACTATGTATGTTAATCTTATTTTAGTTCTAGGTCAACGTCTAGGTATCACTTTGTAAGTTTTATCGTTACGTTGAAAAAACTTTTTTGAGCGAGTGAGAAGTTGTCCTCCCACTCGCTTGCTAATTACTCCAGTTGCAAAATTAATTTCTCATAATATATCAGTGAGTTCTATGAATACAGGTAACGTCCATGCTACACGTTCGTTCAAGGCTGATAAATAGTTAACTCCTTCTCAGCCGAAGCGAAGGGACACGCCAGGGGTTCCATTATTTATTATATATCTCCAATTTAAAAGTAAACAAACGGTGACTTGATTAAATTATGTGGCTTGTGATGACAAACAAAGCTCTGTGCAATGGCACAGGTGCTCACATTCTTAGTCTCGGATTTCTCACTTTAATGATAAATCATTATAATATGGAAACCTTGCAGTGCCTTCACTCTTCACGCTATAAATCTGTTCTTTATCAATGATTATTTAAACCGGGTAATCCACACTGTTCTTTCATACCCGTGATAAATACAGAACAATCAATACAATTCATCAAAACAGGTCATTAAACGGGTCATTCGGTCACATTTTTATTATTTGTGAACTTCTCATACCCGGTGACTGTTCTAGTTTAATGTTGGGAGCAAAGGAGCTGTGTTTCGGTTTGCCAAGTATTAGTAAATTAGTAATTAATTAGTCTCAACTCTATCAACGGTTGAGATACCTTGAGGTATGAGGCAGAGAGTGAAACTCTATGTTGCTAATTAAAAACTGTTATATAAACATAATTTTCTTTCAATTATTTTATCAGCTGCTTTTTCAAAATTTATGTCATATGAAATCTGCCATGTACATTGCAACTTTACAAATGTGCAAATGGTCATTGGTCATGTACGGAGGGCAAGTTTAAGTGAGACAAATAATTTAGCAATTCTCGTCTGATACATATTTCTCGTTTTCCTTGATCCAGCAAACTTTATTCGAAAACACTAATTAGCCCCGTATTTCATCCTCGCGAAGACGAAACTAGATAAAACTATTAATGGTCCTCATCATCTGATTACTGAACAGCTGTAAATTGTGAACAGAGAAAGATCTTGAGACTTTTCTGTTTATCTGATCAGTTGTGTGCAATAATTCAGTTAGTACCAAACACGTGTAGAATTTTGTGACTAAAATTGTAAAATCTTGTGTTAGGACGTCTGGTCCTAACACAAGATTTTACAGACACCACTTTCATTATCACTAGTTTCTGAAGTCTGATTGTTATTTCTGCGGCTATCTTATCTAAAAGATTCAATTATATTTTCCATGATTCAATGCGGTACCTGACGGTAGCGTATAGTTCCGTGTGATTGCATTAACAACTACACCTTCACACTTTATGTGGCTGGTCGTTGCTCGTGACAATTAGGATATATTGTTTCTTGGATCCACATCATTTCATTACTTGAAATGTTTCAAAGTCTCATGTCGCCTTCTTATAGAGGACTGAAGATCAAATTTTTATTTCAAACCCGTGTCTGTTTATTGTTGAGTTTTCTCTAGGTTTGTGAGTATCTCTTTAAGAAATCTGTGAGAAAGATGCACTTAAATAAATATAAACATAAAATATTAGCTAAAGCAGCTAAGTAAATACGTTAAATTCAACATAACCCCAACTCCCTATTACAAAAGGATGGCTATATTCGGCAACATATACAACCAAACAACAGGAGAACTACTCCACGCTGCCACACCCGGCGACATCTTCGCAAACTACTTCTTCGCTCTGTTCTTCCTCCTGTTCTTCCTTCTGTCATTCTTCTGTAACCCCTACGTCTTCTTCCACTACAGAAGAGAAAAGCAGAATGTGTCAGCGGTTCTGTTCCAGATCCTGACGGTTAATGATTTCTGTACTTGTTTAGTTGGAGTCCCGTATGTTTTGTACTTGCTGTTAGTACAGGATCTGGAGAGTCTAGATTACGATGTGCATTCTTGGCAGGTAATATATCCATGATAAAGGGAAAATATGGGATTCAAAAACTTTCATCCTACATTTTTGAGCAATTATAGAATTACCAACCGATCATTAACATTACTAAAATTAGTTTTCCGATTTGAAACATTTCCCCCCTAGATCTGGTACACGGTGATACGAGCTAGCTTATTCCAGTGGAGTATTCTGATTGGTGCCGTGTTCGGAGTCGTCAGATCTTGTGTTATTCTGAGACCTTTCTTAAAACTTAGGAATGTGACTGTCCTGCCCATATTAGCAGCTGGAGGTACAGTTTTATTTTTATATATTACAATCCATGGCGCTTTTTTTAATAATAGAATATACCATTCTCAGGTTTACCGTTTATAGTAAGCGGTTCACAATCCAAAATTCCAAAATACATACGTTTATAACAATAACAACCAAACTCCCAGCTTTCATCACGACGGGAGCAATAGTCCTGCACGTGATCTACGACCCAACAAAAGCCTGGTGTATCTACACCCAACAAGTACTGAACTTCCACACCCTCACTCCCACTCTCTTCCTCGTCCTCCTCACCTACGTCCTCACTGTCTGTGTGTCAGTAACCAGCGCTTGTGCCAGTATGAGAGGGCTACGTCGTCACCACAAAGAGCGGGAAAAGAACAACCTCCCTCCAGGAGGAGAGTGTCCAGCTTGTTTCACTGTTTGTCTGATAAACTTCCTGGTTGTGACTCAGTTCCTTATCTCTGTTATCTCACTGACGGTCAGTTGGACTGTTCATGATGTGGTGGTCAGACATTATCTAGAGTTCGTACAGTTTCCTTTATCTAACTGTGCCTTGTCAGCTCTTAATCCTCTGATCATGTTGGTGAGGTCGGGGGACTTCAGGGAGAGGTTAAAGAAATACAGAACAGGGAAAACAGTTGCAACTACAGTTCTCACTAATACGGAGAAGAATGATTCAACGTCGTGCTGACTAGGTTATATTGAAAACATCAGAAATAGTACAATCGAGATTGGTAGATCGGAACTGAACATATGTGCAATATTATATGTAATATGCATAACGAAGAAACAAATTATTTATCTATTTGTTTTATCTAGTCGTGGAAAGAAAGTTGTGGCCAATTCAAGAACAATTTGAAGTTTTCTTTTTTTTTCAAACAGGTAGTTTTTTTCAAGAATGATATTATTTGATGACTTGTTATTGTAATTAATATTATTATTGTAATTAACAAAACAGTAAACTTACCGCCGCCTCGGCAGGACCAGGCTCTAATGATACCGTAACTGTGGGCTGATATCAATGTAGCAGTGTTGTAGGATGTTGGGCGTGCCTGAGGGGATTAATGATTGTTTAATTATGTTAATTATTATTGTAACTTGTTAATTAATTAATGTTAATTATGATTGTAATTTAATGATTGAATAATGATATGTTACTAAGAGAAGAAGTTGATGCACCAGGAGATTTTAGCAACATAAACAAAACTCGAAATATAATTTTTGATTGCGTATAAAAAATAATGATATAGATTTAACTTTTGTTTAATAAATAAATAAGTACTCACTGCTGATTATAATTTATGTCAAAATTTGTTCTTTTATTTATATCATGGACACTTCAAAATAAATACAGAAATACTCTCCAAACAAAACGCCCGATACAACACTGATAAAAAACTCACATCTAAGAAGCAGAGTTTGTCGACAGAGCAGTCGAACTGTTTCTTCTCAAAACTTTGTTTACTAAAGTGCTGTGTGCCATCGTCAGAGAGGTTTACTCGCAATGCTTTTACACCCGCGTTTATACTGGAGCACCGCCTGGTCAAGTGTTAACCATCACGTTGTGGGAATAGTAACTATGAGACCCAACCCAGATATAATAAGCAAACCACCAGTCACAACCTTTCGATTGGTTATAATGTGAGGTTAGCAATCGGGCTACAAGAGTCACCTATTACCGTGCAAATCCAGATGATAGCAATTAAACTCGAACAGATACGAATCTAGATACTTTTAGATACGAATCTAGGGAAGACAAGAAGAAGAATACCTCTTCTGTTTGATGTGGCTGATTCTCCTGGAAGACATATTGATAGAAGGAAGGGTAGGAACAGAGTCCTTCAGTTCTTCTAGAGAAGTGTTGTTAGCAGGAAAAGTGTTAGCCATGGGGGAATAGTACACTGAACAGTGTCCGTCTCCTGTGGTTATTTGTAATTATTTACTTGCAGGGAAGTTATTTGAATTTTAAGAAAAAACCTTATAGTATTTACTAAGTATTCAAAACATTAAAACTTAATTTTAACACCATTCAGGAAAACAGGAAAATAAATACATAATTTAATGACGTGTCGTAGAGACTAGAGTCTGACCTTCAGGGGTACATTTAGCAGCGGTGAGTCTGCAGAGAATGATATCACATCCTGCATTCCTCACTATTATTGAACCGTCGTACATCGAGTATGCAATAGTGTCGGTCCTGAGGAAATGTTACTATCAGCTCCTGTCACGTGACCTAAATATTATATTGAGGATATTTACAGATCTAGGTATGTTGTTTATTGTACCTGTAGGCAGATACAGATAGAATGTCTTCTGTATGATGATTATCAGAGAATACTCTGGGTGGATTCTCCTCCGGTTCCTCATCACCTCTGGTATCCCTGAAATTATTATTTATATTGAGAAACTGTCTTGTTGCTTTATCTACTTATTCTTTTGAATCACAAGTACTAACCTAAAACTAAAGTTAAGGCTTAATAGATACAAGTTCTCTCCGAATATTCAGCTAAAAATACTTCGATGGTGACTTGTGTCACTCTCACCGACCTCACTGAATGGTCACTGATAAAAAATTCAGCCAAAACCGCGATTTTCGGTCAAGAAGACGGCAGAAAAGCTTCTCTTCAAAAATCTTCCAAAATATCTTTTTCTATTCTGATGTTTTATTTCTGTTTATCAAACATTTCTTTGGGAATAAAACTTTCAGCAGTGAACAGCACCTTAAGGGGGCCGGGGGGGGGGTCTTCATCAAAATTCTCTCGAAATTGATTTTATAGTTGTTTCTGATAGAGGGGAGTGATATCTATTAGCTGCTTTTGGTCCCATGGAAAAATATTGTTCCTAGCCGAAAATATCGCTGGTCAAAGGTCAGCGCTCATGTGTAATTGTATTGCGCGAGCGATTTTCAATCGGATACTTCTCTCCTAAATGATTCCTAGAACATATCCTGAAAGTTTCAGGGTGATTGCTCAAAAAATGTAGGAGAAGATAGATTTTTAGACTCGATTTTCAGGACGCGCGATTGAAAATCCTTTGACCAGCGATATTTTCGGCTAGGAACAATATTTTTCCATGGGACCAAAAGCAGCTGATATATATCACTCCCCTCTATCAGAAACAACTATGAAATCAATTTCGAGAGAATTTTGATGAAGACCCCGGCCCCCTTAATCGTGTCTTGTGCCATCCTCAGTGACCTTGCTAGATGGTCATTCAAGAAAAATTCAGTCAAAACAGTGAAATCTGGGCCGCGGAAAGCAGAAATCTGAAAATGTCTTACCGGTAGGACATTTTCAAAATTTCCAGCACCTTGATGTTGATTTGTGTAACTCACAGTGACCTGTGACCCTAATGATTGGTCACTGGTCAAATATTAAGTCAAAACTATCAGGTTTCTGGTAAGGAAAGCTTAATTGTATGTTACGAAATGTTACGAAATGTTAAAGAATACACAAATACTCACGAATAAACAACGATTTGTTTGGACCAGCCGCCGGTAACAAAAGTGTTTTTGCAGCACACAATATCTGTTATCTCCTCTTGATGAACGTTCTAAGAGGTATTTCTGTGTTCATGGTTACCAAATGGTTACTAATACAAATGGTTACTGACTTCCAAAAGAATATACATATAGAGAGTTTATGTAACTTCATTTACCATTCAATAGTCGTTTCTCAGATCACTGCACACTAAACTGTGAAGCTGTACCGACCTGTAACTCGTCCAACAAGGCTCCATTGTTAAGTTCCAGATCTTAATGGTGCCGTCTTTACCAGCAGTGAGGAGCCGTCTATGTGTAGGGTCAAAGGTCATGGCTGTAATCTCGTTGGTGCCATGACAATGTGAAAACTGGGGATTAAACTCTGGTTAGAATGTCAGAAATTGGCCAAAAGTTATTATGTAATAATTATATGTGACCCCAAAAGTAGTACTAGTAAAGTATTGATTTAGTGTTTACATTTATTAGTATTGTACCTGTGGGTATTAGTAAAGATTTAGTGTTTACCTGTATAACCTTCTCCCCAGTCTCCAGGTCCCACACACAAACCATTGAGTCGTACGAGGTACTGACCACCTGACAAGTATTATGTGTTATTACTTAATATAATCCATCTTAAACTGCAGTCTAGTTAGCTTATTGTTCCATGATCACGAGAACGGAACGTGAAATCTTACGCGGCTTAGAAAATTAAACTTACGATTCAAAAAAATAAGATTTCACCTCAAAATCATTACTTTCAGGGAAAAACCCCAGTGAAAATTAAATCCAAAAAAACTTTCTATATAGTGTTACCTGGTTAAAGTTGTGATTGTAGAGGGCAGCTCTGACAGATTTCTGGTGACTCTTTATATTCACGTTGTGTACTAGCGACTTTATTGTCCTCTCCAATACTCCCAAATTAAACTAAAGAATGATAAAGTCACGTGAGAAAATAAAGAAATTAACTATCATTTCATTTTAATGTACTTTTTAATAATCATTACAAATCTCCTATCCTGATTGATAACTCCGAAATTAAAGTATAATTTACCATTTTCCCTAAAGGGTGAAAAGAGATAGATCTGCAGCTATAAGCTACGGTACAATAACTATCTAAGATCAAATGATATGAATTGAAGTATTAATGACATACATTCTTAGACCCTATAACAAGCGTGTGGTGAACTGAGTGGAAGTAAGCTGATGTGACAGGGTGAACACCGAATGTGAGCTTACTCAGCGTCTGTAGACACACGTGATCCTTGAGATCCCACACTTTTATCACTGTGTCCTTGGAGACGGAGATGATGGAGTTTGTTAGCTCGGATACTATCACGTGCTCCACTGCTGCTGAGTGACCCTGCTCAGGAAAAATGTGTAAGGAATTATTTTAATTAAAAACAAGCAGATACGAGATAAAAACCTGCACATATTCATTTCAATTCTAAAATCTGGCATGTTGGAGTATTATATTTATATACATATATTATGTAAATCACTTAATTGAGAAAAATATGAGGCGTCATTGCAGGTTATGAAGATATTTTCATATAAATTTAAACGCCTATTTTTCATTATGAAGACTGATTTCACCTTCATCATAGCGGTGGGTTTGTTGATCATGGAGTAATGCCAGACTCTTATTACAGTATCCAGACCACCAGAGACTATGTAATCTTTGGAAAAGTCAAAAGCGTTTACACCTTTGTAAACAGAAAACACTGATCCAGCCTTTCTTTCTCCGACATGGTTGATGTTACCTGTTGGAAAAGGAGACATAAGTTGTTAGCTGTGCAAAGAATCTACAGGAATTTCCAAGGAAATTATACGAAGATCACTATATTCTAGTCCAAAATTACTGACAATTACCGAAATAAAGTGAAGTTTCCTGGTCCATGGAACATGAAATGAAGGCGTCGTAGTTGGGGACAAACATAACTTTCTTAGCCCAATCTTTGTGTATGCTCTGGACATTTAGTTTAACACCTGAGTATAGGTAACATGGTAAATACAGTCACAAGTTGCTGGATAAATTAATATTGAGCAAACCAATATAATATGTAACTGATAAATATAATGTTGGTACCATTAACTCATTAACTCATTAATAGAGTCCAAACACTATGCTTCAATATTGAACTAACCGTCAATCCTCCCCATGTATATATCGTGCATAAGAATCCTCCTGGTGATATTAGACTTTTTTATAGTGTCCGCCCCGAACAATCCTTGTTGAAGTGACGAGAAAATCAGCCGCCCTATTTGACCTGCAGAAAAAGGAAATTATAGATTTTCGCAGTCATATCAATTATACCAATTAACCAATATATCCATAATTCATAAATATCAGTTTTAGTACACAACTCACGAAAGTGGCACAGCTCAGCTAATTCTAAGATGTAAGTAAGTTTTAAGTAAGTAAATAATTCTAAGATGTTCCATGTGAACAACTGACTAACTGACCGTGAGAATCGCCGAACACCAGCACAGCCTCATTGTGGTTCTGTGGGTTAAACCAGTAGTGTAAACTTGTAATAGCGTTCTCAAATCCTGGAACCACAAAACAGAGGTCGTAGTTCCCCGCTGATAAGTCGTAGAAACCTGAAGGGAAACAGTAAAGACTCATTTCTACACCTCGAGACTCGTATTTGCAGTGGAATAAACTTATTTTCAGCCTGTCCGAGAATTTTTGAAGCATAAATGATAAAAGTTATCTTATTGGTAACAAAAGCTTTTAAATACAAGTGTTAATCGTGTTCAGTCTGTTTAGTGTTAACTTACATAGCTCTCTGTTCGTGGTGGAAACTACAATTTTAGATGTGTTTGACATACATTCCAGAGCTAGTATCCACTTTCCTTTCTTTCCTCTACCACTCTTCACTTCATCTAGCTATAATTGGAATTTCAGAATCGATAAAAATTAATCCAAAAAACGAGGTGACTGAGTTTAGGTTAGAATTCTTACATCAAATGGTCAGATCAATTAGCTAATCAGAAACTTTTTAACAGACGAAAACTGATCTATAATATTATGATCAGCAAAGTTTTGCAATGCACTGTGCATACAGTATGCACTGTGCACACACAAAAGAGGACTCACCAACACTGATTTCTGCAGCTGCATATCCGTGTTCCAAAGGCCCATAGTACCGCTAATGTCTACTGTTACGAATCTTCCGTTGGTATTACTGTAAGTTACAGGTCCATCCTCGTCAGCTCTTTGTCTGTTTAGTGCTTGCATGAATCCTATACCTATAGAATGTTAAACGATACAACATTTTGAGATCCTATTGCTGTTATAAAAGTGGGTAAATCTAAAAAATAAATGACCGTGAGAAACTTTTAGATTTCAATAATTTCAGAGCCTGGCCCTAATAAAAACAACGCAAAGGAGCATCTGAATCGAAATGAAATAATATGAGCATTTAAATCTAACTAAAATCGTAGTTATCAAATGTAGTGGAACGTTCTAAATCTTACCCATGATGGTGTCTCGATGAGGGTTTGACACGAATCTGAAGGGGTTAGGAAAGGGAGTCTCGTTGACGTAGTTCATATCCTGTCGCTCTTTGTACTCCAGTAGCATGTATGTGCAAAATTCATCCCAGTCTACTGTCCCTGATGACATAGTTATTTGAAACATTTATCAATGATCCATTTTTACTATTGCACTTTTAAAACTTAGGGCAAGGGTTGCAGTCCACATTGTATTGTCCGGTGTGGTGATTACTGCAAATAGAGGGTCATTTGATGAGAAATTAAATATTTTGTCACATAATAAAATCTGTACAAACCATCACAATTAGTGTCAATTTTCATGAACATGACCTTCATTTCTTCTTCACTGAGACTATTGTTTTGAGTCAAAATGGCTCGAAAAGCTTGCTCGAATTCATCAATGTCTAAACCATTACTGTCATCTTGGTCATGTTCCTGGATAGAAGAAAATAAAATGTTTTCAAATTATCACATGGATGGATTTGAATATTTTACATATGAAGATGATAGATACATTCAAATTGAAAGATGGTATGACATAGCACTGGATACCTTTGTTTTAGCAGGGTATTGTATTGATGCAGTGCAGTGATCAATGCACTGTTTTTTACTAATATGTGAGCTGAAGCATAGTCTTACCTTGAACTTTTGTTTCAGTTTTTCTAAATGAGACAGATTGATTGAATCTTCTAATTTTGATCTATTTTTTGAATTTCCATCTCCTTTAGATGGTTCTTTTGACTGCTTCTTTGGCGATGATCTAAAGTATTTAGATCATTAACCATTTTTAATGACTGGCAAAATAATGACATTGAGTTACAGATATTGCATCAATCCTGAGCCATATAATTATCAGACTTCAATATCATCACCAAATCACAATTATTACAAAGTAGTCGAATTGTTTACCTGTCAGATTCTTTAAAATCACTGTCATTTGGTGGGCTGGTAACATCGAGTATCTCTCCAGGTGATATCAGTAGTTCTTTACTCATTTAATTTCTATGACTGTAATTTTATTTTAACTAATTATTAACCACCCCCTTCAAGTGGGCAATAATATACATTTATAAAATTACATAGACAAATTCATGTCTGTTTAAATCATTCTAAAATTTTAATAACAAGATAGTGCTACAAAAACATCAATAAAAGATACTCAAGATTATGTGTAATGAAATTAATAAAAACGAGCAAGTTGCCGCAAGAAAATTTGCGCAAAAATGTATTCTTCTAATTTAGAAAAAAAAAACAATAACATAAAAACATGATTCTTATTCATTGATCATGAATTTAACAACGTGGAGTAAAATTATCTTACTAAATCTAACACGTCTAGATAAGAGTTTTGTTCGCAATAAATTAATGTTTTGCATAAAAAGTCCTCTCAAAATCACTCCTCCCAACAGGTACTTTTTAACAGATGATAAAGAGAGCGACACCGCCTACAACTGCAGCAGTTCCTGCAATAGGAGCTGCAACAGTTCCAATTACTGTTGTGGCAGCAACACTCTGCATGAAAGCGAAAACACCCCCTGCAGCCACGTTTCCAACTGCAGCCTGTGCGGCTGCCGCTGCTGACCCTGCTGCTATACCAGAAGATGTAAAGCCCGCCAAGAACGGTATGCTAGTAGCGATACCTGCCCCAATGGAGCCTAGTCCTCCAACCAGTGCACAAATACCCCTGCAATATTAGGAAATATAATATTTATAATAGTTTCATGATGGAGAAAGCGTTATTCTGAACATAAAATCATGGAATCATTATTTTGCAAGCTTTTCAAAATTTTACGGATACATTAAATTGAAATACTTACGGCATCTTTGTGAATTTATTTTCTACGGAAAATTAAAATTAGTTAAATACAAATTATGATATTCTGAGAATTGCGTCAATTAGTTAATGATTAAGAGGAGAATAAGAGGAGAAAGTAGATAATTCAACGAGAATAGACTATAACCGATAAACGAGTCACAAAATGAGTGTAACGGGGGGTTTTCATGGAAATTTTCTAAAAATCGACTTTTTAGTTGTTTCTAATAGAGGGGGGAATTTCTATTAGATGCTTTTAATCCGATAGAAAAATATTGTTCCTAGCCGAAATTATCGCCGGTAAAAGGTCAGCGCTTGTGTGTAATTGTATTGCGCGAGCAATTTTCAATCACGCACCCTGAAAATCGAGTCTAAAAATCTATCTTCTCCTACATTTTTTGAGCAACCACCTTGAAACTTTCAGGATATGTTCTAAGGACCATTTAGAAACTTCTTGTCCCTCAGAATTTTAAGATAGGCCTTAGAAAAGTTTTTATTCGATTTTGAAAATCTTAGTCCTGAAAAAATCGTCAAAAAACGAGGTCCAAGATTTTCAAAATCGAATAAAAACTTTTCTAAGGCCTATCTTAAAATTCTGAGAGACCAGAAGTTTCTAAATGGTCCTCAGAACATATCCTGAAAGTTTCAAGGTGATTGCTCAAAAAGTGTAGGAGAAGATAGATTTTAAAACTCGATTTTCAGGGCGCGGGATTGAAAATTGCTCGCGCAATACAATTACACATGAGCGCTGACCTTTGACCGGCAATAATTTCGGCTGGGAACAAAATTTTTCCATGGGACTAAAAACATCTGGTAGATATCACTCCCCTCTATCAGAAACAACTATAAAATCAATGTCGAGAGAAATTTCATAAAGACCCCCCCCTGCCCCCTTAATTGTCTTGATCAATTTGAGGTCTTTCATTGTGGGAGTTTCCACATGTTTTGGTTGAGAGCGCTAAACATACATGACGTGTGACTGCTATAAAGCAATGAAAGGCATTAGTTTGGTCAAATCAAACGGAACATATGCTATCAGACTTTCAACTGACTATGGCAGGGTTAAAACAGTTTTAACGCTAGCAACGATCCCCTTTTACATAGTTCCACTAAAATGATAATTTAAGATTAAATATGTATACTGTATAGTGATAGGTAGATAAAGTAAAAAATGTAATAAAACGGTAGGAATAAAGTATACTAAGCAAACGTAGTCGATACGTCATAAAACGAACTGGCCCAAACTCCAATTACTCCCGCGTAATTTCCCGCGTAATTCTAAGACTCCGATTTTGACCCGTGCAGTTACTTATAATACCGGGGGTGGACATTTAAACACCAGAATATTGCATCGGGACATAGTGTTGGGCTGCTTCAGGATGAGTTAGATCCCAGAGAAGCCACCATCCCCTTTACTGGTTTAGCTCACTCCCATCTTAGATACAAGGAGGCCAGGCCTGAGAGGCTCTTGAAGATTTCGAATGGACTCCGAAATCCGCCACTTTCCTGTACTTTCAATGGTACCAATGTGGCAGGAAACCACGGCTCATGTTGCCGCTGAGACCTGAGTTACAGCAGTAGACTAGAGGGGATGGCGGCTTCTCTGGGATCTAACACATCCTGAAGCAGCCCAGCACTATGTCCCGATGCACTGGTGTTGGGACATAGTGTTGCCCTGGGTCAATAAAGCAGTAAAAGCATCATGACGTATGTTATGTTGAGCATTCTCAAGCAACAAATGTGAGAACTCCCACAATAGAAGACCGATCAAACAGATCTAAAGAGACAATTAGCGGGACTTCACTATTGCATAGTATAACACTGTATTTTTTAAATAATTTACAGTTTAACACAAATTGTAGGTTTATAACCTACCAAAACGCACGCCGAGTTGCGAGTTAGACAATCGTCGACGGGACAAATATAATATTTGACAATATTTAACGAGTATCACACGTTAAAACACAAACAGTTCCACAATTTACAGTTTCACATAAAACAAATTTGCTTCAAAATTGGCAACAGTTACCTCGCCTCCTACAATGAAAAAATAACAAAATTAGTTCATATTATAGTTGATTGACGACGCGATGACAATCTTTCACAAGTCGGCGTGGCCCATTCACAGGAGGACTATAGTACATTATTATTATTAAATCTAAAATAGCTAATAATTTAATAAATTATTAACAGGCCCCTTAACGTGGGCAATAATATACGCTTTATAAATTATATAAACAAATTGAAGTCTATTTTTCCAATGTTGTTAAGTGTCTCTTTAGATCTGTTTTGGTCTTTCGTGGGAGTTCCCACATTTGTTGGTTGAGAATGCTCAACATAACATACATGATGCTTGACTGCTTTATTGACCCCGACAGGCACCGGGGGCAGACATCCCAACACCATTGCGTTGGGACATAGTGTTGGTCTGCTTCAGGACGTGTTAGATCCTAGAGAAGCCGCCATCCCCTCTACTGCTTTAGCTCAGCGGCAGCATGAGCCCTGGTTTCCTGCCACATTGGTACCTCTGAAAGTACAGAAAAATGGTGGATTTCGGGGTCCAGGATATAAGCCTCTTTATTCTTTATGGTGGTAATATTTCTCTGAGATGTTTGCAGAGTCTTTATTTCATGATCTTTCTAGTTGGATAAATCCTGGAGAGCATCATTTTGTCCCCAAAGAAATTCGACTCTCTATAGTACAAAGAAACTGCTGCTAACTGCTGCTCACTGCTCACAGGAGGGGCATAGTGCAAAGAAACTGCTGCTCACTGCTGCTCACTGCTGCTCACTGCTGCTCACTACTGCTCACTGCTGCTGCGATCACTGCTACTAACTGCTGCTCACTGCTGCTACGCACGCCGCGCGCAACTGCTAAAAACTGCTGCAAACTGCTGCAAAATGCTGCTCACTGTTAACGGGTGATACTCGTAAACAGTAAAATATCTGTTCCATATATTGGCGCTATCTGGTTGTAAAACTACAAGCTCACTGCTGCTCAGCAGTTTCTTTGCACTATAGTCCTCCTGTGCATTGTATTGCGATGCACTATTGGGCCGCGCCGCGCATCAAATAATGTTTTTTCGCAAAAAAAATAAAGCAAATTTATCATTTATGGATGTCTGGTTTGTAATTTTTATTTAAAGCAATTTGATAAAGCTTATATTGATATAAATGGTTAAAAACGCCGGCCAAAATCGATCTGAGAGATTTTCAGTCTATAGTACAATATAATGATAGCAATAGTTTAAATTATGTGCCGCTGCAATTAGATTAAATTACTGCAACTTAAAATTGTTTGGAGTTTAAGTATCTTGGGCATTATTGACATACGTTGCATGCCACTTTTCGCGCGCTGATATTTGGTTGTAGGTTTACAACCTACCAGGACGCGGACGCGCGCCGAGTTGGACTCGTCGACGGTCCAATATATGGAACAGATATTTTACGAGTATCACCCATTAAATAATTGGGATACGCAACATGTATCAAGGGCATTATATTATATTTTATGGATTGTTTTAAATCTTTTTATTCTGTAAGATGTGCTAAAATTAAATTTTTAATTGTTTCATTGAAAAAAAAATTTGTTTCATTGAAAGCAGAAAGTTAAAATGTTAATTATGTAAAACGAAAATTACGCGCAAACGAACGTGCATTTATAATATAATTATTAAAAATAGCAACTTCATTTTTGTTAATTTGTACATAAAAAGCCAAAGCCTATTTAATTTTGTAATTTTAATTACAAACTATGACCAAATAATTTTAAAAGAATGTGCCTTCATTTACTGGGCCGCGCTCAGCCTGTCATTTTGTAGGTTTACTACATACAACCTACGAGGACGCGCGCCGAGTTGGACTCCAATATATGGAACAGATATTTTACGAGTATCACCCGTTAATGGTTAACCTGTCATTCCGCTGAATCTATATTATTATGTTAATGAACATAATAGCCTGAGGTCCCCAGGTAAGCCTTCATTTGATAATCTCATGGACGCAAAAAGCTTTGCATGCTGGAAACATAATTGATAATTTAATATCCTGACAAAATTAAATCGTACTAAATCGAATTAAATTTCCGGGTAGCATCTACTCTGATCGATCTCTTTATTGATTTATGATTGGGACTGGGTACAGTGCATGGTGCATCACTGCAGTGACCGGTTGACGTTAACTGCCAAACATGCAAGTGAGAGCTATTTTATAATGTATGGATTATAATAGCTAACAATATTATAATAACTGATAATTTTCGGATTGTTTGAGCTTTAATATGTAATATAGTTTGACTGACCGGCGCGCGCTACTTAACTTCAAAGCTTCGTGAATTAAAAAGCGGCGCGCGCTACTTCGAAACAATTTAAACGAGTATCATCCGTTAAGCTTTAACATTTAATAAAATAAAACAATGCAAATCCAAAAAGGGGAATAAATAATTTATTGCAATAAATTATACATAATTTTCTTGAGAAAATTTTCATTTGACATGGCCTGGACAATGGTGAATGGACATTTGTTTTAATTAATAAATGGAAGGCAGAAGGTTGGTTAAAATGAAATAAAGGGTTGGAGAATTGAGAATACTGCAAGTTCTCAAACAACTAGTTGGACCACGCAGCACGCATTACGGGTCGAAAAGTTATCTCCTCATGTTTCTTTATATATATATAAAATAATACAGTTGTTCTAATAATAATATTTTGGTTCTGCGCTGTCCGAAGGACTCTTAGTCTTTGCTCTTATCTGAGTGATTTCATAAACTACAGTCCACAGTTGATTAGATGTGTTCTTGGACGCTGATTCGGAATCTCCGTCCATGGCATTGACTTTAAGGACCTGGATTTGACAAAAGTAAAGGGACAAAATTCTGAAAAGAAACTAGAACTAACATAGATTTGTCTTGATCGAAGTTCTCAAACAACTGGACCACGTATCTCCTCATGTTTCTCTATAAATGCGTTCTATTATCTCCGGTTCTGCCTGAAGGACTCTTATCCAGGCGGCGTTCTCGTCTTCACAGAAGGTCGTTGAAACTTCGGATATCGTTTCTAAGTTATCCAACAGCCTCCTTTTCTCTTGACTGTAGTGATATCAGGATTTACCATATTGAATTTGGTGTCCTAGTTTTAACGAAATTCTCTATTGATGTAAACTCCGCAAATACATAATGTATGATGATGCAGTGGTGCGTTAAATTGTGAAATACTGGTATATAATAGATGGGAAAAAATATTTTATACAGACTTCTTATTGAATCATTTCGACGATTTGCCATGAAAATTAATTAAAAACTATTGGCAATATAAGACCTGGGTCACCATGCACTGTGTGCTTGAAACTGCAGTGCTCAAAATTCACAAATTAGTTTTAAAACGTGTAATTTCTAAGAAGTGCAACTAACGCTGCGTTTATAATTCGGGTGTCGATGTATTTACCAATACTAGAGCGGGAAATACAGAAGGACCTACTTGGTGAGAGGTATTGGTTCTGGTCTTGGCATCTTGTTCGTAGGTAAGGTAATGTTTGAGAAGTCTCTTCCAACTTGAGATACTAATTTAGCAGAGTGAGACCTTTTCTTCTTTTTGTCACATGTTTTGCAGATTGGACACCGCTTCGTTACTGTGGCGATATATTTGTAAATGAAAATGTCATGAAAGTGTTTAAAAGTTTAATTAATTGTTATGTTTTACTATGAATGTGTACCCGTTTAATATTTTTGCGACAATTTCCGGCAGCCTCAAATTTCTTCTTCTTATTACCCGGTTCCAGTCCGGCAAAATCCGGGAAACCGGAAAATATATTGATATCCGGTCGTTTCCGGTCCGGTAGCTAAAACCTTTGATCGGTCGGTTCCTACAGTGTACAGTGACTGTCGCAATAGAATTATTAGAAATAAAGTTTTATTAAAACCTGCGTTAGAAATAAAGTTTTAATACAACCTGTGTAATAAAGTTTTTACAGAACCTGCGCTAGGGTTGTTAGAAATAAAGTTTTGACAGAACCTGCGTTAGTTTTATAAATAAAACCTGCGTTAGTTTTAATAAAACTCGCGTTAGTTTTAATAAAACCTGCGTTAGTTTTAATAAAACCTGCGTTAGGGTCCATTTTGAGGAGTTTAAGAGTCCTCTGGAGTTCCTTGCCCCACTCCTCAGTCTCACATCTCGATATGAACTGTTGCAGTCCGGGGACCTCCAACATATCCTTGAATATCATTTGTCTGCTCCTTATCACCTCTGCCAAAAACGATTGGAAGTAAAAGACTATAAGGTTCATTATTTAGAATAATGCAGACCTCCGGAGTTAGGTTTTGGTTGTTGCTGTACACCTCGAAGAAATTCTTAGAATATTGGCGGATTTTAACGTTTTAAAAGCCGTAATATACCTAAAATATTGTACGATGTTCGAGGATCTTTGTGAACAATCATGCTCAACACTCTTCTGTTTTGGTCTTGTTTTGTTTCATACGCTAATATTTTCTTAACCTCCTCCTGAAATGATTAGTATGATATAGCTTCGATAATTATTCTATCAGAAAACGTTCTATTAAAATTAGTCGTTAGATGACTGCACCTCATTTCATGATATTTCAGAAACCATTATTATTGCACGTTGGTAATGGTAATGTAAATCTAACGTTGTTTAAATAATGGGTTTCGTGTTTATCAATAGATAACCTGAGTGAGCAGATTTCTCTGAAAAAGCTCCGGTACAACTGAACTACAGTCCAACACCGCCACAAGAACTTCTTTATGTTGCTTTATTTTGTTTTTGATAATGTTTGATGCCTCCTCTTTGGTTTGAATGTAGGGTTGTCTTGCGTACGCCTGCAATATCACGTAGTTAGGTTAATAATAACTAAATTGTTTGGAAAACGTAAGTTACACTTACACACCAGTTCATCTTATCTAGAACAGGGGCAGCCGTTAATTGTGACTGTGTCCTATAAAAGGCTAAAATATTAGATACAATTCCTTCAGGTCTATTTCACAGAAACTTCTGGTTGCATTTTAACGAACTTACCCTGGAGTGAAAGTTGCAGATAGTCTCAACACATCTCGAGTGGAAAGCACTTTTCGGCCTACCAGAGGATTTGGTGGTTATTGGTGCACTTCTACATCTTTCAGGAAATCTCTGAAAGTAGTATTATATGTACATTCCCATGGTCCGAAATATGTATCTTTATCTAGTGCCCCACACATTGCCCCAATAAAATAATGTTCGTTTGTGGTTTGCTCTCCTTCAGAATCCGTTATTAATGAAAATCAACAAAACAACAGACAATTGAGTATTTGATTTATGTGATCAAAAATAAGTTATAAAGATGAATTATTACCATTAATCTTACCTTTGCTCTGGTGACCTCTGTATTCAGATGATTTCCACCCTTGAGTCTTTTCTCCCTCTCTCCTCGTCTCCCGGTGTCCTTGCCTTCTCCACTCGTTGTTGCTGTCCCGGGTCTTGAAGACTTGGCTGTCCCGGGCCGGGATGTCTCGTAGTGTTTCCCAAACTCCGCTCGCCGAAATGCACGTTGGGACTCAGAGAGGTGGAGTCTGTCATACTTCACCTCCGGCGGGGTTGATCTGAACATTTATAACATCTATTACAAACTAACAAAACTTTAGATTAATTGAACTCAGTCAGCAATTTAAATCAACTCCCTAGAAAGTTCAAAGACAATCGTGTGATCGTTCATATTAATATCACCAGATTCCATGGTAGCTGAGTCACCATTTATGTAGTCGGTGTCTTGTGTTTGACTCAGATTACCCAGATAATAAGTCCAGTATGTGAGGGTATAATTCTGCCTATTTGACTAATGCGGGTTTAAAATAAATGCGCCCGAATGTGGGAGACTCAGGCCTCAGCCATGGTTATTTGATTTCCAGCAGCTCAGTTTAACCGTTCAATAATCCGTTTGCTCTAATACTCCAAGAGAAATTGCTGATTTGAATAATGCACATTCGTAAACTTGACATCATTATGATTAAAAGGATGTTTTCTCGACTTCTGATTCTCCTAATGATGACAATATGTGTCGTTAACGCAGATACAGGTACATATTTGTATGAAAAAACCCCTATTTCTAGCTTGATACTCTAGGTTAAAATATTGATGATAAAATGCTGAACTTAAAAAGTATCGCAATTATAGTCAAACATTTAACGGCTATTCTAATAGATATTAGGGAAGGGTTCACTCGACCATGTTTTCAGTAATCTCCAAAGTAGAGCCTTCAACAGTGTCTCAGAGCAGCACAAACGGCAAAGGTTCAGCAGATCTGGCAAATGATAACGATATGAAAACCTTCTCCCACACGGAATGTGCATGGGACACTGATATCTGGTACAAACTGGAGTTTGATACGATCCACTGCTTCTCCGAGGTAGAGATTGTCCAGTCTCACACCGGTGAAAGTAGATATCGTATGCAAGTGTTTATAATAAACACTGAGACTGGGACTGGAAGTCTCTGTGGGATTCTCCAAGTGACCGACGATGTGACGGTTATTGGAAAGACGTACAGGATACCATGTAATCAGAAGTGTGGAAATGTAGTGAAACTGGCTGTACGACATGATGTTGATTCACATGAGGGAAGTCAAGGCATTTCCTACAGGTTTGAGAAAAATAACACTTTAAATTTAATGATTTATCGAATTATTTTTGTGGAACATTTATGTTCAATTACTTCAGAAATTTAGAAGAAAGTTTCCAAAGTTGATATTACTTGCAATAATGAACCATATTTTGTCAGAACTTGCTTGAGACTGAATCTTGAATGGACTAACGACTGCGTTAAGCAAGGTAATATTATTTAATGTCTGTGTAAAGACAAGATGGTTAACAAGTTAGACAATAAGGTCGATATGTAAGAGCGGGATACAAATAACATTGATAGAACCTAGGTTGAGAGAGTCGCTCGAAAAGATCTTTTCTCTCGGACAGTCTCTTGTCTCTGTCACAACTCTCCCAGTACAGGTCCGATATTGGGTCCTTTCCCAACCTCTCGTGCGTGTCCTGTTTGATTGTTTATTGTTATGAGAAAAGGTGTTTTATTCATTCTGGGAGGGAATCAAATGTCATCCTCGCAGTAAAACTTGAAAATAAATTTTGAAATAAAAAAGAGCACGTACGTCATACGTGAGATCTAATCAATTGTTTTGTGAATTATAAAATATCATAATTAACGTTGAGTTTTCTTCAACTTTGATCTATGCCAGAGCCTAAATGGTACATTAGTACCATTGATAGGTTAAACCAATAAAACAAAACTAAGCTGCACAAAAACTTGTCTGATGTGAGTCCTATTTAATCAGGCGTCCAGCATGTTCACTTTCAGAGAGAACAATATAGGTGTTTTAATTTTGAATGGGCGTGGTCTAAAATATTCGAATTTTCAAATTTGACGACGGAATCCTCGAACCAGAAGTTACAGTATGCTATCTGCAAAGCAACAGCTCTCATATATAAAACACGGCAGAGCTATTAAGGCCAACGCATGCCCACTGACTTTTGGCCCACCCTGTAGTAATACTGAAATCTAAATTCCACGCTGGATATTTTCGTGCCGATTTAAAAGTTTGCCTTCCTTCACAGATCTCAAATATCAAGAAGAACCATTGACAGGACAAACCAAAACAACAGAACTAACCTGCAAAAAAACTTGTCTGATGTGCGTCCTATTACTAGTGAAGGAGGAGGGGGTTTTAGCTCGGGGTGGAAGCTGAACCTTCCTCTGACGGTACAAAGGTAGAACCTGAACCATCAGCTCACTTTTTGATATTTTATTGCGTCTTTAAGTGCTACGGAATGCAAAATATGTTATGCAAAGCAAGACAAAGGCAACATTTTAAAATTAGCAAATGCCAAATTCCTCTTATTTGTCAGAAAAACTCGAACAAAAGCTTTTAAACAATTTAGACTAATTGACAAAATCAGATACCATGAACCATCACAAACGATAAGAAAAGTTCCTCATATAACCTGATAGCCTGCAGGGACTAGTGTACCTGCTCAGGTAGCCATAGAAATTTGATCCCAACATTGCGTTAATATGCAATACTAAACTGGTGAACTTGCGAGGAATAACACCAGTCTGCACAAATTTCATGGCAATTCACGTTCATATTAAAGCATGAGCAATGACGCCGAGGGAACTTTTAAATCTTCTATTTATTTGCCGGATTATTTTCATTTGATCTTGTCGATATTATTTTAAAGCTGCAGAACAAATTAAAAACGCTAAAAACGATTGTTTAATAGCGCCGATACTTGAAGTCTAATACTTCAATGGCCGATACTTAACAAACAATGAAATAGCGACAAAACTCCACATGATAACGTTTTAAAAGCTGCACTGCTGAGTGAGCGAGAGAGATAGCGGTGGTGACATTGTCCTGTACCGCACAACAGGCTACTTAATGTTGAATACACGATACAATTACTGCTAAAGGTATATTTCTTAGGTTGCTAGGGTAACGGTAGCTTCAAATCTAATGAAACGTTCCTCATTTTACGTAGTAGCTCAAGGTGGCTCGCTCGCGGGTTAGATTTGATGTGAGGCATGCTCGAGATTTGATTGCTATAAAATGGTTATACGATCTTATGGTTTTTCATCTTTGTGGCTGATAAAAATGTGCCACTGAATCATTTTTCGATAAGAATAGTGTTTTTAAACTGAGACAAATTGTCGAAACTTTTCAAGTCTGAAACGAAGATCAAATAGAATAAAATAAATTAATGTCAAATATTGTTTGACGCAAATAGAAATACAATAGAGTATTGTTGAATGAAATTAAAATCAGTGACCAAGACATGTCTGCGTATTAATGATAGACTAGACGATAAAGGAAATTTAATTGATGCTGGTTAAAGATCATCAAGCAAGAACAATGTCAAAATATGCTCCTAAGTTTCATATTTTGTCTATAACGATATACCGATCTATAATGTCAAATAATGCATTGAAAAAACACGCTCAACAATGCCAACCGTAATTTAATTCTAGTCTCGATGGAATTTAACTATAATTAGCATCTAAATAAGCTTAATATGTCGAATAAATCTAAATTATACTCAAATCAAAAAACAGAAAGCTTTCTGCAGGCACATTCCGAATATTTTAATCATGATCTAATCGCTGATGCTTGAAGAAGCTGAAATAAGCTTGGGCCAGAACTGCACTACGAGCATAACATTTTCACACGTTTTTTGTTGAAGTATTGACTGTCCTAGTAGCCTACTGATATTATTTCAACTGCGTTTTTATTTCTGATAAGCGTATAAGATGATATTCCGGATAAATTGCCACTCGAAAACGAAAAAGGAAATTATATGGTAGGAAAATCTACATCACCGTAAGAAGTTTTTCCTAATAGTCCCAAAAAACAAGTCACATTTTATCACAAATAATTGCATTCGATATGCAAAATATGCAAAATGTAATAATTTATCAATAAATACATTGTTACGTTAACAGTTAATAATTAATTAAGAGTATTCATCGCAATGAAAAATCAAGAATACAACATACATCCATAAGTATTAATTGTTTTTACCCAGTCCAAGTCTGGTAAAGATTATTATTTAATAGAAGGTGAACCAGACTAATTAATGCAGCATCATTATGTAAATATGTATGTTGAATCATTATGTATGTAGGACTTCTAGATCTCCACAAATCTACGCATTTTGAACCTCTCATTAACCCATATAATACCAACAACTCTAAACGTTCGAATTTTTTGATGAAATTTTGTTTCCTAAGCACTGAGGTACCAACTCCGACGGTGCAATAATTATTTTGAAAAAATTTATATTTTTTATAGCTTTTTCGACCCGTACTTTTAAAAGTTCATTGTTGGAGCTTGCGTTTTTGGAACATTGCATCGTACTTTTAAAAGTACATCATATTTGAATGATGTACTTTTAAAAGCACGGGTTTAATAAATAATGTACTTTTAAAAGTACGGGTTTAATGAATAGTGTACTTCTGGAGGTATGTTACTTAATTAAACAGAAACTCTGGGTCAGATAATAAAACTAAAAGCCCTTGTCAGAATGGCTGAATAAAATTTAAACAATACCATACAAAATTTAAGTGGTACACTAAACAAATCATGATGGTGGGAACAGCTATACTTATAAACTACTATCATAATTCCATTTACCAATTTACTAGAATTTTACGAAAATTGTCAGGTTTTGTGCTTTTTACTCTAACTGATGATAAGGCTTAAAACAAAGCCAGACGCTTTTCACAACTTAAAGAATACCTAAAATGGTGAGAATGAGAAGAGAGTAGCAGAAGCTGAGAAAGTTCTAGAGGAACTCAAACAGAAGAGAGTAGCAGAAGCTGAGGGAGTTCTAGAGGAGCAGAAGAGAGTAGCAGAAGCTGAGCGTATTCTAGAGGAGCAGAAGAGAGTAGCAGAAGCTGAGAGAGTTCTAGAGGAGCATAAGAGAGTAGTAGAAGCTGAGAGAGTTCTAGAGGAACAGAAGAGAGTAGCAGAAGCTGAGAGAGTTCTAGAGGAACAGAAGAGAGAAGCAGAAGCTGAGAGAGTTCTAGAGGAGCAGAAGAGAGTAGGAGAAGCTGAGAGAGTTCTAGAGGAGCAGAAGATAGTAGCAGAAGCTGAGAGAGTTCTAGAGGAGCAAAAGAGAGTAGCAGAAGCTGAGAGAGTTCTAGAGGAGCAGAAGAAGGTAGCAGAAGCTGAGCGTATTCTAGAGGAACAGAAGAGAGTAGCAGAGGTGGAGAGAGTTCTAGAGGAGCAGAAGATAGTAGTAGAAGCTGAGAGAGTTCTAGAGAAACAGAAGAGAGTAGCAGAAGCTGAGAGAGTTCTAGAGGAACAGAAGAGAGTAGCAGAAGCTGAGAGAGTTCTAGAGGAACAGAAGAGAGTAGCAGAAGCTGAGAGAGTTCTAGAGGAACAGAAGAGAGTAGCAGAAGCTGAGAGAGTTCTAGAGGAGCAGAAGAAGGTAGCAGAAGCTGAGCGTATTCTAGAGGAACAGAAGAGAGTAGCAGAGGTGGAGAGAGTTCTAGAGGAGCAGAAGAGAGTAGCAGAAGCTAAGCGTATTCTAGAGGAACAGAAGAGAGTAGCAGAAGCTGAGCGTATTCTAGAGGAACAGAAGAGAGTAGCAGAAGCTGAGAGAGTTCTAGAGGAACAGAAGAGAGTAGCAGAAGCTGAGAAAGTTCTAGAGGAGCAAGAGAGAGTAGCAGAAGCTGAGAAAGTTCTAGAGGAGCAGGAGAGAGTAGCAGAAGCTGAGCGTATTCTAGAGGAACAGAAGAGAGTAGCAGAAGCTTTGAGAGTTCTAGAGGAACAGAAGAGAGTAGCAGAAGCTGAGACAATTCTAGAGGAACAGAAGAGAGTAGCAGAGGCTGAGACAATTCTAGAGGAGCAGAACAACTCAGCTGAGGAAATGCATAGACTACAAGGAAAGGAATCTTATGTTGGACCAGCAGATTGCTGATGGCACACAATCATGTCAGTATTTGATAGTAAATATACATCGGGATTAGGAAACCAGTTACAAGATCTAGGATTGTAAACATTAAGCGGGGGAGGGGGGATCAGGTACCAAGTGCCGTACGTGACGTCGACTAAGTGCAACTTTGGAATTTACAAAAAAGACCCACCCACCCCCTTCGCGGTACTAACTGTTTTTTTTTCGGATAATATTTAGGACACCCACCCCTTTTGCGGTACTAACTGTTGAGAAATCACGGTACTGACTGTGTCTTGGTATATAAAATAAGATACCCACCCATAAATTGCTTTAAACAGTTCATTAAACATTGGGAAATGGGCAAATTATACCCACTATTTAGTAGGGGTTTTGTTTTCAATGCAGTCGAATTAAATAAAAAGTTACAAAAAAAGGAAACAAAATAAAAAAACCCAAAAAAAAGGAAAAAAAACCTCAAAACCAAAAACAAACCATTCCCAATATTGAAATTTGAGGTAAAATGGATATTTTGGGGTTGGACACCCCCTTAGTACCTTGTACTAACTGATTTTCTGGGAAATGAGCAGCAGACCCACCACTTAGTACAAATGTACTAACTGTGTTTGGAAGAAAATATGACCCACCCCCCCCCCCCCCCCAACGTCACGTACGATTCTGACCTTATGATCCCCCCACCCCCGCATTAACTCATTAAGAAAGAGTATATTGAAGGCCGCTCTGGAAGACGTGGAATAACCGAGTGAAAACGTGGATCCTTCAAGATCGACTAAATCCCAGAAGTAACAACAACAAGTTTTTGTTGTGACTTCCGTTCTGATTCAGAACAATTTACCTACCATTACAGTCTTACCGACATTAATCATACCAGCACACATTGTGTTGTCTATATAAACCTGTACTTTGAAAAGTACATTTTTCTTGAAACCTGTCCTTTTAAAAGTACATCATTCGAAGATAATGTACTTTTAAAAGTACGTACTTTTGAAAGTACATCATTGTCTAGAATGATGTACTTTTAAAAGTACACCCAATTTACATCTCAATTAGAGACAATTTATGATTTTTATCTCGCCCCACATTATTGCCTATTTATTGCACAATCGTTTAGGCAATATTAAAAAACCAAATTTGGGATCCATCAAAGTTGGAGAATTGGCTGGTGGTACCGAGAATTTACCTTTTTTCAAAGTACCATTTTTGACCACCTTTGCCAACATCCTATAAATTTCTTGCTTTTTTTAACCATCTGGTTAGGGTGTTAAAATCATCAGCAGACTTTTTCTAACCTAATGCAAAAAACTGTATCAAAAAATATTTGTCATGAGACAAGTTAGGTCACTGTTTATGAACCGTACTTTTAAAAGTACCGTGGAAGAATATGGGTTAAGATCTCGATCGTCATAAGTAATTTGTTGAGTAACCAATCTAAAATACATTTTCTGTAGAGTTGTTCTCACTGCACACTCCGCAGGTCCGTGGACATGCCTTTCTCCAATCCTTCCTTCTGCATTTCCTCTTCTTCTTATATTTCTTCTTGATTCTATCCAAACTTGTGCAATCGAACGTGGTTCCGTCTTCACAGTCCGACACATCTGGCGGTGATTACATCAGTTATTTCATCTTGTTTCAACGAAAATTTCGAGCAGTAATTTTTTACTGGTGAGATCATACTAGCTTGTGTATATTGTATAGTTGAATTATTATAATAACTTACCAACAGGTTCTAGTTCACAAAGTTTGCAAGTCTTCCAGCAGAATGGTCTCATTGGATCCTTCAAGTCTTTGCAAATGTTCTCATCACACTTAATGTACCCGTCTTGAATGTCATCTTCACAAGGATCTACAGTTGAAATTAATTACAATTGATTCAATCTATATCATGCTATATATTAAATTTATTTGAATCTCGTCGAGAAATACTGAAATAGCTTGAGTACTCATAAAACAATAGAGAATTTGTGACTAACCACAATGGCCACAAGTTTTTAAACAGTGTGGTTTAAATTCGTCGAGTTGGCAGTACTTTTCTGGATTTCTTTTACAAATTGCGTGATTATCTTTACAATTCTTCATGCCTGAAATAAAACAGCTCAAAATAAAACAGATTTAAATTTTAAATCAGTCAGTAAGTGTGTTAAAATTTTTAATGGCAAGAACAATCTGTGATGGGTCTCTAAGATAACAAATGTCCAATCATACCAGGCTTATAAAGATTCTGCAGTTTACTGATATCATCACTTCCTAATTCCAGACGGTCGTGCATCCTTCTCCCACTAAAATCCCAAAACATCGCATCCTCTTTTTTGTTCGTGTGACTGATAAAAATCGTCATTTCTCAAATCTCATTAAAAAAATACAATTTGTTTGTGATAAGAATCACTTGAATTATAATTGTAAGTTTATTTAACTCCTCTATTATATTCAAGTTTTAACAAATATATCGTTTGTGTGACCTACCTCAATCCCAAGGAATGGCCGAACTCGTGCAAGGCAATAGAATACAGATTAGGTTTCAAAACATCTCCCTCCTTCAATTCTTCATCTTGGTAGCTCCTCTCCGCCCACGTCATCAACTCGTTGAAATGAACATTACCTGAGATGTCCATTATTTATCATCATTTAAAAGAAGTAAGTGAAATTGTTCAACACTTGGAATTTATTTGGCATGAAACGGAGAATTTATGTCGGTTCATGCAATTTGTAATAAAGGAAGATAGTATAAAGTATTGCAATCTATTTTCAATACCTCTATCGAGTCTTATAATGCAACAAGACAAAATTTGTAGGTTTACTAAACCTGGTTTAGAACCTACCAAGACGTGCACCGAGTTGAACTCGTCGACGGTATTTGAAACGAATACAATTACATATTTTACGAATATCGCCCGTTAAGATAAAACATACCAAAAAAATGAGCGTGAGCGTAGACAGCATCACATTCCTCCCCGAAATCCTCCTCAATAGGATTAGGAGTCTTGCCACGGTGCTTGAAGTGGCTGCACGGTTCAAAGCTAACCATTATGTCGATACCATCATTATCCAGTTCTCTGACTTGAACGAGTTCGTCCATTACATCTTTGATTTCATTGCTGAATTCTTCTTCGGTGTTCATGTTGTAATCCACTTCGTTTGTTTTCTCCAAATCATCAACGTTTACAAGCCTATAGAGGGTGACTTATAATTTAATAATTATCAATTAGATTGAAAATACGGGTGAAAGTTATGAAAAATATATGCTTAATAGCTATCGAATCTCAAAAACCATATGAAACATAAATTTTCTGAATCTTTCGAAGCATACTCTTACAAAATATTGGCATTCGGGACTTTATTCCAAGTTTGAGCTGCTTCATCAATTAGCTTCTTGATAGTGGTTTGACTTATCTCAGTGCATCTCGGAAAGTTGTCAATCTTGTAAAACACTTTCTGAAGAGGTATACATTAATCATTATACAATTTTAAATGTACAGACAACTAAGCATCTACTATTAAGGGTGCTGTTAATTTGATACGGACGCAAAATAATGAGCCTAGGATTTTGAACGCCAATTAGTAATTAATTAATTCTGTTTCAATTTTTTAGATTGAAAAGTAAATTATCAGTAATATAGCCACTCCCTCTCACCTACCCGTCCATTCCAGTTTCTTTGCTTGTTCAAAGCTCCTATTTCCTCTTCTATCTCATGAGCCGTTAGTACTTTTTCCGGCATCACGCCCTGAATAATATGAGCAAATATATATCAGTCTGCTATCTGCATTACCAAATACCAAATATAAACCAATATCTCTAAGAAAACAGTTTTTACTTTTGTTGACCAAAACCCAAAATTGGGTAGGTTGGAACGTCGCCAGTTTCTCTTTTTTCCAAACAAAAGAAAATGATATTAATTTTGATTACCGTTCCCGGACTTAAACGCAAAATGATACCGAGCGAATAATCGGTCGCAGATCGCTTTTCCAACTGTGAGTTTTGAACATTTCTCACCTTCACAAAACATTCATCATTTTTCTTGAAAAGTAGCGGTTTAGTGCTACTTTTACTATGAGCACCAACATGTTTCACTTTAGAATGGGCGCTTGTACTTCTAACTGGCATTCCACAGGACATGATGGTGAGCAAACACAAAATTGGTTTCATTCTCTCGTCTGTACGCACGGTTGATCTGCTATTTTAAACACCTAACAAAATCAGTAAATAGCGATTAATAATCAGGGTTTAGTTAATAATCAGGGAAAATTTAGTCGAGAATTCATTAAGATACCGTTATTCGTAGGATTAGGACTACGTTAGATAAGAGGAGAAACGTGAATATAGTCAGAGTCTGAACAAAATAACATATACGTTCGCAATTATAAGGCTCCAGAAAAACGCAAAGAAAATATGTTATTAGAACCATAGTTTGGGTAAACACTCGACTCCATATTATAGTGCTGACTGCTGATTCTATGGACTGTTGAATTTCACAAAACGTTCAGGAAGGTAAAAAAAAGCACTTGAAAAAATAACTGATAGAAAACGTCTTGAAACTTTATTAAAATCAGTTGATAGCAGTTAAGAATTACACAGAATTACATACACAGAATCAGACTTCAGGTACGCATATCTCTTTTGAGGTCCTTATTAGTTAATATTTTGAACGCAAAACGTTTATCAGTAAATATATTATGTGTTCAAAATAAGTATGTTTATCAGAAAATTTCATGCTGTTATTTTTCTTAACTTCAGATGGAGTTCAAAAAGCAAAACAAAGTGGCAGCAGCAATTGTGATAGACTCGTGATCAGGGGTGTAGGAAACCCCTACTCGTGATATCATCACCAACTAAAATCCTAGAATATTGATAAATTCGAATAGTTGCAGTTTATTTTGACTTTGAAAGCCTTTATTTGTGATACTATTTGTGATGTTATATTCTTTAAATTTCAAAAGTTTGTGAAGATATAACCTAAGGATGGCAATATTAACGGCGAGGCTGATTAAAAGAACAACATAGAGTATATTAAAGGACAAAATTCTTAAAACAAAGGTCAACAGAACAAACATAATATGTGTAAACTGCTCATTTTCAAAGCATATTTTGTTGCCTTCGGCTAACCCTTGATAGTGATAAATGTAATATAACATCAATTAAAACAGCATACTATGGATAATAAAACAATTACATTAATTATTCCAAGAAATTAAAGAGATACACTGTTTAATAAGATTAACGCTAATAGATAACATACTATTTGCAAATGTATTAGTACTACTGAAAGTACATGTGTAATTCCCGTTAGCCATTTGGTATTGTTCATCATTTTAATTTCAACCTTCGGTGTTGTTATTAACTACTATTACAACTAGTATTAGCAATAAGCATTGTAAAATATCATCGTTTTGGGATTATTAAATTTTCAATTCTCTGCCTTAACAGATAACTTCTACTATCGATGTGGCTTACGCGGCCAGTGGCGTATCGTTGCATGTTGGCGGCCTGCACTGCTTTATACTGCCACGCCGATAATTTCCCAATTTATGAGCTAGAGTTTTACCGCCTTCCTATAGAGCTATAACTATACCCTCATTTATTTACCCCTCGCTTATTTACACACATTCAAGTTCCCTTTTAATTTAAGAATAAACATTCCGATTCATCGCCCCGCCGCGGCAAAGTAATTCCTTTGACATACCTTGGTGAGCAACACAATTGTACAACCTAATCCTCGCCGCCTCGCATTCCTGTGCTGCATAGCCTGGAACTTATTCAGCTCTCACCTGCATTAGTCTAACAGGAACATAAATCAGAAAGGTAAGAAAGACCTCGCGAAACGCCAATACACATACGATCTATAAACGATCAGGGCTGATCATAGTTGTAAAGTGGAGATCTTGGTACAAGGACACGATCAGTATCATACTTAACGATTACGTTTACACTTTACAACCACGTTTTTTCCAGTTTAGCAACCAACTATGCCATGTGGAACGGAATAAAACAACTCGTCAAAAATATATTTAGTTATTTACATTTAGTTGCGGAGACGAATTAATTTATCATTAAAAATTTATAAACGACCCGCTCCTTCGTTTCCATCAGTTAAAATACAACATTCAATCAAACAGAATATAACTAACAACTAATTTAAGAGGTACCAGGTGCCTTACAATTAACTTATTAAGTATAAGTAACGAGCTGGTACAGTTTATTTTAAAACTTGGCCGCTCTTTCTTTGTTGACCAATAAACTTTCTTCCGACCATTTGACGCATCCTCTGATAAATATTTGAAAGACATGTTGAGAAATTGTTTTATAAAATTCTTACAGCACTTGATTTATGTTTATACTTCATATTAATATCTTTATAATGATTATTGAAGTTAGTATGTATTTTTCCTAGCAGTAGCACGGCTCATGGCAAAGGCTAGGTTGTCCTTACTCTTTAGGGGAGATGTTAGGATTCGTCAAGCTTTACAAGGTTAGTTGTCATGGTTACCGGTTAACAAGAACTTGGCGGGAACAAACCAGTTATACTCTCATCTTCAATAAAGCAGCTGCTGTGAAATAATTGAAAAGAATACGATCAATATGAGTACTGATTCCAAGAGTATTTAAACATCAGAATAAAATGGTGTGGCTGCCAAGGTGTGACTGCCAAACAGCAGCGCTGCACGAAAAGGAATAGCTCCTATGTTATAGGACATCTCAAGCCCAAAATTCATCCCAAGCTTATAAACCATACCACGGACTGTGGGACCCACGGTACAACAGCAAACTTAATGTAATGTCTCAAACTTATTATTCAAAGCTTCTTCCTGCTGTACAATAATGAAAGGTAACAAGTACAATGGCGGAATAGTTACAGGAGTGTCACAGCGATAACATTAAGCAATTTTAATGGGCTTTTGTTTTTGATACATTCCTTTACGAATTGGAGAGAAATGAAGATATCAAGTTATAACTGGAAATTAAAAAGATTCCTAAACAATAAAAATTGCGCTATCATACCACTAAGACAGTGACGACATAAATAAGTCTGGCACGTGAGTCTTCTCTCAGCGGCAATGAATGTTGTAGAAATGAAAGTGGATTCCTAGTGGTAAATCCGGCTTCGATAAGTCTCGGTGAGTCGTTAAACTGCATTAACATACAACATGTGGTAAAATCGTTATTCACTTCATTGTGATCATAAAGTGGAGAAGAAAAATAAAATTAAAAAAGTTAACATCTCTGTTTATGAGAGTATTTTCTCTGCAGTGCCGGATGATGAATATTAATCTACTCAAAGTAAGATGTTGCTCTCGGATAGCATCACATTATATCGATTTCATCGTGAAATTTGCTCTCATTCAGCGTTGCAACTGCCGTAAAAAATTTCCCAGGGAAATAAGCGCTCCGCTCTGATAGCATGATCGAGAACTAATTTGAATGCATCGTTAAGTAATATCGTCAAATTACAAACTTTGGTAAAAAAGACACTTGAACGAATGCAACATCGTCAATCAATTGTTGTGTCTGTGTACGTACTTATTGAAAACCGACTAACTTACCTATTTTTTAATTAGTTTAAGTTATAAAATAAAGAAAGTACTTGCGTTTGTACCAGTACAACGCAGTTGCTAAAGTAATGATGATTGAGTAATACCGAGGAAAAAGAAACGTTCAGGAATGTACGTTTTATATGAGTCCATCCTATTTTTCAAGATCCTAGAAAAAGAAATGGTTCATTGAAGTATCAAATTATATTAATCACTTTCATTTCAGATTTTATTTCCACCCTCAATAACAATGGCTAAATGCCGATGTTCCACATCATACCTACTCAAGGGCTAAAACTGCGATGAGATCTAGCTGGAATCTCTAAACGTTGGAATAAAGTAATGTGATGTAATCGACAAAATGGAGCCAATTCCAAGTTCCAACACCCCAGTAACACCCTTCTCTTCGTCTGAAAATATTTAAAATGTGAATTTTATATTAATAGTAGCGAGGAAGTGCAATTAGGAGAAATGCTCCTTCTTTTTCTTATTGCCATCAACCATCTGTATTTTACAAATTTATTACCTGAAGTAGACCAGTCTTAATAATTCAACAAAATTTTACATCTTTTAATCGTGTTAAACAAGACGTACCCCAATTGTGAAGGGTGATAGTAACACTTCCACTCTGCAATTACAAAGAACATCTTCACAGTCAGTGAGTCAGCGTGACAGCTGGAAGGAGATTAGCAGCTTGGAAGGAGATTAGCAGCTTGGCAGCTGGACTAGTGGGACGCTAACTCAGTCAGACTGGCACACTGAACGGGACGATTTGATTGACACGTTCAACTTAACAATTACAGTCGGTCTACTCATACAGGGACGGGCTGGTCAAGTAACCAACTTAAGTCACGTGTACCTCGGCACCTGGTTACTTAACTCATTTATACCCTCGTCAATATATTTTCCTCTTAAGCCCTTAGCTAGACCATTCCCAGACTTTCACAAATTCGTAATCATGAGAAGTTTAGCTCTGTGTCTACTGCTTATTCTCCAGGCTTCTGGAGACAGGACCTCTGTTGATGATATCTTGGATTTAGCTGATGGGGACGATTGTCCCAAAGGTACCTGGTCTGTGGATGGAACACACTTTGAAGGAGCTGACGAATGTGAGCAATGCTACGAGGGTGAGTTCGCCAATATGGAGGGTAGTGTTGCCTGTGACATGTGTCCCGCCGGTACTTACACCCCCGAGATGGGATTCTGGGAGTGCTTGAACTGTCCTGCTGGAGAGATTACTATGGAGAGTGGTAACTACGCTTGCTTCCCCTGTGGTAAAGGAAAGCACAGCCCCGTTGAGGGTGGAACCGTCTGTGAGGAATGTCTCCCCGGACACTTCCAGGACGAAGAAGGAGCAGCAGGGTGCAAAGTCTGCTCGGCTGGCCAATACCAGGATGTTGCTGCTTCTACCGACTGCAAACTCTGCCCAGCAGGAACTTCTTCCCCAGCGCAGAGCGGAGCTGTTACTGCTTGTGTTGACTGCCCTGCCGGCAGCTACTCCCCTGTTGACGGCTCTGAGTGCCTCCTCTGTCCCGTCCTGAAGTACAGGGATGCAGCTGGAGCTACCGCCTGTAAGGACTGCCCCTCAAACTCTGATAAAGAAGGAGCTACCGACTGCCTCCTGATCTGCCCTGAGGGTCAGGTCCCTGTTGATGGAGTTTGTGAAGCTTGTGATGCTGGTTCCTTTGCCTTACTTGGCGCTGATTCGTGCACCAAATGCTCCAAGGGCTACTACAGCAACATTTCAGGAGCTGCTAGCTGTAGCATCTGCCCCGTGAAGACCTATGGTGCTGAAGAGGGCATGACAGCATGTCTGCCATGTGACGGTAACGATGCAGAGGGTATGACTGAGTGTAAGATCGTGTGTCCTGCTGGTCAGATCGTGAAGGATGGTAAATGTGAGGCTTGTGCTGCCGGACAGTACGAGACTGAAGGACAGTGCTTGCCTTGTGCTGCCGGATCATTCTCCGACCAAGCTGGCTCTGTGTCCTGTGACCTGTGCGTTGCTGGACATTACAGTGCTGAGGGTGCCTCACAGTGTTCGGAGTGCTCTGCTGGACAATACCAGGACAAGACAGGACAGGCTAATTGTGAGGACTGTTCTGCTGGATACTACGGACCTGCCGCCGCTGCCGCTAGCTGTGTCAAGTGTGCTGCCGGGTTCTTCAACTCACAACAGGGACAGGCTGCTTGCCAAGAGTGTCCAGCTGGAACCATCACCGAGATTGAGGGTCAGCTCTCCTGCCAGGAATGTGATGCTGGAAGCTACTCCATCTCCTCCTCTCAATGTGAGCTGTGTCCTGCCGGACAGTTCTCTGACGATAAGGCTGCCGTGTGCTCACTCTGTGCTGCCGGCTCCTACACCCCTTATGAAGGATCTTCTGGTTGCATGCCCGCCCCTGCTGGTAAATACGTAGACTCCGAGGGTGCTGTTGATGCTAAGGTCTGTCCAGCAGGAAGTTACTGTGAGGAGGGCTCTGTCGCTCCTACTGACTGCCCAGCAGGAAGTATCTGCGGAGAAGGATCCTCTTCTGGAACACCCTGTCCTATTGGAACCTACAACCCCAACGCTGGTTCTGTCTCACTTGATGAGTGCGTTGTGTGTCCTGCCGGGAAATACTGTGACCAGGCTGGTTTAGTAGCCCCCTCCGGTCTCTGCAGTGCTGGATATTACTGTCCTGCTGGCAGTGAATCTGATCAAGAGGAGATTAGCCCTGCTGGTCACTACTGCCCAGATGGTTCAGCTGAACCCACACCTTGCCCTAGAAGTACTTACAATGAGCTGGCTGGTGCTGTGTCTGCTGATGGTTGCATAGCCTGCCCAGAGGGTAAAGAAACTGCCCAGAAAGCAGCAACTTCCGCCGACCAATGCAAAGATATCAACTGTGTTCCGGGATACTTCAGGGATCCTGATCAAGGCTGCCAGATCTGCCCTAAGGGTACATTCAGCAACATTGCAAACGCTGTCGCTTGCAGGTCCTGTCCTAGACACCAGTACAACTCTGTTGAAGGAGCTGTACAGTGCATGCAGTGTCCAGACACTGCATTCACATGGTCTGAAAGAACTGACTCTCTGGATGGCTGCATTGGACCCGTTATAGAGGTGTGCACCGGAGAAGACATGACTGGAAACTGCTACCGTTACTACGACAACGAAATGCTGGTAAATGTCACAGTAAAATCTGTCAAGGTTATAAGTGGAGAGTTTGATTTGTTCGACTTATCCAACAAGTGGGGATACTACACAAAGCTTGCAGAGAGACACGGAGCTCACAACGTGAATCAACTTGGAAGACTCTCCAACGTCGGATCCTTCGTTGCCCTCATAAACGACGTGTTCTGCAGCCTGGACCAGGGCTGGAAGTACCATGGATCTATCCGGAAGACCTCAAAGTCTGGCAAGGCCTGCATCAACTGGAAGAGGACCCCTCTGGCTGGCAGGGCAGCTCCAAACCACTTCTGTCAGAATCCTAACGGAAACCATCTCGCTGCCAAACCCTTCTGTTACATCAGCGAAACAGAAACAGAGGAATGCGACATTCCATCCTGCATCTGGGACATGGACTGCTTTACCGGTAACGGAGTGCAATACCGAGGAAAGGTTGGTGACACAATCAGTGGACACGTCTGCCAGAACTGGAACACTGACTACCCTGTTATCCACAGCTACCACTCTCCCGAATACAACTGGGCTGGTGTAGGAGAGCACACAAAGTGCAGGAACCCGAGCCCGGAGAGCGAGGGTAGACCCTGGTGCTTCAAGGACTACTTCTGGTCTTGGTTTGAGATCTGGGATTATTGTGATATTCCTGCCTGCTCCAGAGCCAAGTTTGATTTCTACCGTTTCTAAGGATGCAATTGATGTATTGTATTAAAATTAATGATTGGTAAAAAGTTTGAATATTAATGGTATGAAATAAATCGTTGAACTGTTTTATTTGTCAGTAAAAGTATAAAGTAAATGATGTTACACTTAATGAGTAAAGCTGACTGCTTAAATTTAAACGAGGCTCTCCGCTTTCGGTTCTTTTAACTCCAAGGGCCTGAATCTATCTAAAAACCTTTTTGTAAACTTGTAAACTTTCTCAATTTCTTCAATGTCTAAAATTTTTGTTGAATTCTTAATTTGTGATGGAATTCTTGGATGCATAACTTGACACATGAATGCGGATACTGTCGAGGTTTAAAAAAAATTGATACGGCAGAGAAGTTAAGTCAGCGAGCAAAATTTGCTAATCGCATGAACCAGTTTTTCCGTTCCTTCCTACTACCTGAATAAACTTGAACTCTTGTTCGAAAAAACAATCCAGTATTAGTGATTAGGCTCATAATTTCATTTGATGTTATTAATGTTTTATCACGATTCTTAAAGTACTGTTGAAGGGTTGGATTAACCGCATTCACTCTTGCTAACACTGTAAGCAATATATGTTGCCTCTCCTGAACTCTATTTGAGTATTTGTGACGTTATGTGTGACGTTAATCTTGTGTGGGTAAATCAAAAGAAAAGAAAATCTAACAATTTCAACGTTAAATAATGTGAAACATGTTTAGGATTAATATGATATTATAACATTATGACATAGCAACAAATAACTTCAACGTACGTAAAATCGCTTAATTTGTAAACATACTATAAGTTCATTTAAGGACGAAAGGAGGATTGTGACTCCTCGGACTACACTAAATTAATTCCTTCTGTAACATCCTCAATAAATGTAATATATTTAAAGTGTTGTTATTACATGGTTTAAAACAGTGTCGTAATTAGCTGTTGTAATTAGTTTATAACATATTATGAAAACACCAGATAGTGACCAATCACTACCCAACGTGTTGTAGTTGCACTCAGGCACTGTCTTTAGTTTGGCTGATGGCGAAGAGAGATCTGCTCACTATAAGTTTTTTCAACGTATTTAAAGTCGCATCCGGACATAAAATAAAATTCAGATCTTCATCAATGAGCTGAGAGATGCATTTAATTTCATGACCAAGTCCGGGGCATTTAACTTTAAATTTAATACGAGGACTTTTCGTCCATATTTCCGTTCAAGTCTTCTTTTACACTTTTCTTTTTTTCTTTTCGGGGCCTATTTTGCAAGCACCACATGTTTGTGGACACGACTTCTTCCAAATGGACTTTTTGCATTTCTTCTTTATTCTATCTGGTTTCGACTTTAGCCTTTTGCAGTTTTTCGCACGTACATCAACACACTGCTCTTCTTCTGAAAACATTTGAATTTTATACGACTAATAAAATGTTTCAAGCTAAGCTACTGTTATAAGAATCTTTCGTTTTAACTTGAAGATATAAATTCTGCATTTCACTGGTAATTTCTCGCTCTAGTAAAATTATGATAGCACGTTTACTGTTTATGATTCTAGCTACTATAAACAAATTCTCTTCAAAGCTTTCATTCTAATTCAATTCACGGAACATTGCTCAACTACCAAATTATAATCGATGGTGATACTGATAGTAAAACTTCCGCTTTGCAGTTACAACGCAATATTTCACAGTATAAGTGACAGACTGACAGCTGGGAAAAGATTAGCCGATCAGCAGCTGGACTTTTGGGACGCTAACTCGTCTAGTGCTGAACCGGACGATTTGATTGACGCGGCCTAATCAAAGATTACAGTTTGTCTTTTCACACAGTTACACCTGGTCAAAAGACTTACTTAATAAACTCCTGTCAATTAAACCCCTTCCAACATTAGCTAAAAGATTTTCCGATATTTGCAAATTCGTAATCATGAGAAGTTTAGCTCTGTGTCTACTGCTTATTCTCCAGGCTTCTGGAGACAGGACCTCTGTTGATGATATCTTGGATTTAGCTGATGGGGACGAGTGTCCTAAAGGTACCTGGTCTGTTAACGGAACACACGTTGAAGGATATGAAGAATGTGAACAGTGCTACGAGGGTGAGTTCGCCAATATGGAGGGTAGTATTGCCTGTGATATGTGTCCCGCCGGTACTTACACCCCCGAGATGGGGTACTGGGAGTGCATGAAGTGTTCTGCTGGAGCGATCACAACAGAGACTGGTGGCTACGATTGCTTCCCTTGTGGTAAAGGAAAGCACAGTCCCGTTGAGGGTGGAACCGTCTGTGAGGAATGTCTCCCCGGACACTTCCAGGACGAAGAAGGAGCAGCAGGGTGCAAAGTCTGCTCGGCTGGCCAATACCAGGATGTTGCTGCTTCTACCGACTGCAAACTCTGCCCAGCAGGAACTTCTTCCCCAGCGCAGAGCGGAGCTGTTACTGCTTGTGTTGACTGCCCTGCCGGCAGCTACTCCCCTGTTAACGGCTCTGAGTGCCTCCTCTGTCCCGTCCTGAAGTACGGGGATGCAGCTGGAGCTACCGCCTGTAAGGACTGCCCCTCAAACTCTGATAAAGAAGGAGCTACCGACTGCACCCTTGCCTGCCCCGAGGGCCAGGTCCCTGTTGATGGAGTTTGTGAAGCTTGTGATGCTGGTTCCTTTGCCTTACTTGGCGCTGATTCGTGCACCAAATGCTCCAAGGGCTACTACAGCAACATTTCAGGAGCTGCTAGCTGTAGCATCTGCCCCGTGAAGACCTATGGTGCTGAAGAGGGCATGACAGCATGTCTGCCATGTGACGGTAACGATGCAGAGGGTATGACTGAGTGTAAGATCGTGTGTCCAGCTGGTCAGATCGTGAAGGATGGTAAATGTGAGGCTTGTGCTGCCGGACAGTACGAGATTGAAGGAGAGTGCTTGCCTTGTGCTGCCGGATCATTCTCCGACCAAGCTGGCTCGGTGTCCTGTATCCTGTGTGGTGCTGGACATTACAGTGCTAAGGGTGCCGCACAGTGCGTGAAATGTTCTGTTGGACAGTTCCAGGACAGGACAGGACAGGCTTATTGTGAGGACTGTGCTGCTGGATACTACGGACCTGCCGCCGCTGCCGCTAGCTGTGTCAAGTGTGCTGCCGGTTTCTTCAACTCACAACAGGGACAGGCTGCTTGCCAAGAGTGTCCAGCTGGAACCATCACCGAGATTGAGGGTCAGCTCTCCTGCCAGGAATGTGATGCCGGAAGCTACTCCATCTCCTCCTCTCAATGTGAGCTGTGTCCTGCCGGACAGTTCTCTGACGATAAGGCTGCCGTGTGCTCACTCTGTGCTGCCGGCTCCTACACCCCTTATGAAGGATCTTCTGGTTGCATGCCCGCCCCTGCTGGTAAATACGTAGACTCCGAGGGTGCTGTTGATGCTAAGGTCTGTCCAGCAGGAAGTTACTGTGAGGAGGGCTCTGTCGCTCCTACTGACTGCCCAGCAGGAAGTATCTGCGGAGAAGGATCCTCTTCTGGAACACCCTGTCCTATTGGAACCTACAACCCCAACGCTGGTTCTGTCTCACTTGATGAGTGCGTTGTGTGTCCTGCCGGGAAATACTGTGACCAGGCTGGTTTAGTAGCCCCCTCCGGTCTCTGCAGTGCTGGATATTACTGTCCTGCTGGCAGTGAATCTGATCAAGAGGAGATTAGCCCTGCTGGTCACTACTGCCCAGATGGTTCAGCTGAACCCACACCTTGTCCTAGAAGTACTTACAATGAGCTGACTGGTGCTGTAGCTGCTAATGGCTGCAAAGCTTGCCCAGAGGGTAAAGAAACTGCTCAGAAAGCAGCAACTTCCGCCGACCAATGCAAAGATATCAACTGTGTTCCGGGATACTTCAGGGATCCTGATCAAGGCTGCCAGATCTGCCCTAAGGGTACATTCAGCAACATTGCAAATGCTGTCGCTTGTAGGTCCTGTCCTAGACACCAGTACAACTCTGTTGAAGGAGCTGTACAGTGCATGCAGTGTCCAGACACTGCATTCACATGGTCTGAAAGAACTGACTCTCTGGATGGCTGCATTGGACCCGTTATAGAGGTGTGCACCGGAGAAGACATGACTGGAAACTGCTACCGTTACTACGACAACGAAATGCTGGTAAATGTCACAGTAAAATCTGTCAAGGTTATAAGCGGAGAGTTTGATTTGTTCGACTTATCCAACAAGAGGGGATACTACACAAAGCTTGCAGAGAGACACGGAGCTCACAACGTGAATCAACTTGGAAGACTCTCCAACGTCGGATCCTTCGTTGCCCTCATAAACGACGTGTTCTGCAGCCTGGACCAGGGCTGGAAGTACCATGGATCTATCCGGAAGACCTCAAAGTCTGGCAAGGCCTGCATCAACTGGAAGAGGACCCCTCTGGCTGGCAGAGCGGCTCCAAACCACTTCTGCCAGAATCCTAACGGAAACCATCTCGCTGCCAAACCCTTCTGTTACATCAGCGAAACAGAAACAGAGGAATGCGACATTCCATCCTGCATCTGGGACATGGACTGCTTTACCGGTAACGGAGTCCAATACCGAGGAAAGGTTGGTGACACAATCAGTGGACACGTCTGCCAGAACTGGAACACTGACTACCCTGTTATCCACAGCTACCACTCTCCCGAATACAACTGGGCTGGTGTAGGAGAGCACACAAAGTGCAGGAACCCGAGCCCGGAGAGCGAGGGTAGACCCTGGTGCTTCAAGGACTACTTCTGGTCTTGGTTTGAGATCTGGGATTATTGTGATATTCCTGCCTGCTCCAGAGCCAAGTTTGATTTCTACCGTTTCTAAGGATGCAATTGATGTATTGTATTAAAATTAATGATTGGTAAAAAGTTTGAATATTAATGGTATGAAATAAATCGTTGAACTGTTTTATTTGTCAGTAAAAATATAAAGTAAATGATATTGCACTTAATGAGTAAAGCTGGCTGCTTAAAGTTAAACGAGGCTCTCAGCTTTCGGTTCTTCTAACTCCAAGGGTCTGAATCTATCTAAAAACCCTTTTGTAAACTTGTAAACTTTCTCAATTTCTTCAATGTCTAAAATTTTTTTTGAATTCTTAATTTGTGATGGAATTCTTGGATGCATAACTTGACACATGAATGCGGATACTGTAGAGAAGTTAAGTCAGCGAGCAAAATTTGCTAATCGCATGAACCAGTTTTTCCGTTCCTTCCTACTACCTGAATAAACGTGAACTCTTGTTCGAAAAAACAACCCAGTATTAGTGATTAGGCTCATAACCGTAATTTCATTTGATATTATTAATGTTTTATCACGATTCTTAAAGTACTGTTGAAGGGTTGGATTAACCGCATTCACTCTTGCTAACACTGTAAGCAATATATGTTGCCCCTCCTGAACTCTATTTGAGTAGTTGTGACGTTATGTGTGAACTGTGACGTTAATCTTGTGTGGGTAACTCAAAAGAAAAGAAAATCTAACCATTTCAACGTTAAATAATGTGAAACATGTTTAGGATTAATATGATATTATAACATTATGACATAGCAACAAATAACTTCAACGTACGTAAATCGCTTAATTTGTAAACATACTATTAGTTCATTCAAGGACGAGAGGAGGATTGTGTCTCCTCGGACTACACTAAATTAATTCCTTCCGTAACATCCTCAATAAATGTAATATATTTAAAGTGTTGTAATTACATGGTTTAAAACAGTGTCGTAATTAGCTGTTGTAATTAGTTTATAACATATTATGATAACACAAGATAGTGACCAATCACTACCCAACGTGTTGTAGTTGCACTCAGGCACTGTCTTTAGTTTGGCTGATGGCGAAGAGAGATCTGCTCACTATAAGTTTTTTCAACGATCAATAATTACATATTTTATATTTAAAGTCGCATCCGGACATAAAATACAATTCAGATCTTCATCAATGAGCTGAGAGATGCATTTAATTTCATGACCAAGTCCGGGGCATTTAACTTTAAATTTAATACGAGGACTTTTCGTCCATGTTTCCGTTCAAGTCTTCTTTTACACTTTTCTTTTTTTCTTTTCGGGGCCTATTTTGCAAGCACCACATGTTTGTGGACACGACTTCTTCCAAATGGACTTCTTGCATTTCTTCTTTATTCTATCTGGTTTCGACTTTAGCCTTTTGCAGTTTTTCGCACGTACATCAACACACTGCTCTTCTTCTGAAAACAATTGAATTTTATACGACTAATGAAATGTTTCAAGCTAAGCTACTGTTATAAGAATATTTCGTTTTAACTTGAATATATAAAAGATGCTGCAATTCACTGGTAATTTCTCGCTCTAGTAAAATCATGATACCACGTTTACTGTTTATGATTCTAGCTACTATAAACAAAGTCTCTTCAAAGCTTTCATTCTAATTCAATTCACGGAACATTGCTCAACTACCAAATTATTATTGATGGTGATACTGATAGTAAAACTTCCGCTTTACAGTTACAACGCAATATTTCACAGTCAAAGTGACAGACTGACAGCTGTGAAAAGATTAGCCGATCAGCAGCTGGACTTTTGGGACGCTAACTCGTCTAGTGCTGAACCGGACGATTTGATTGACGCGGCTAAATCAATAATTCCAGTTTGTCTTTTCACACAGTTACACCTGGTCAAAAGACTTACTTAATAAACTCCTGTCAATTAAACCCCTTCCAACATTAGCTAAAACATTTTCCGATATTTGCAAATTCGTAATCATGAGAAGTTTAGCTCTGTGTCTACTGCTTATTCTCCAGGCTTCTGGAGACAGAACCTCTGTTGATGATATCTTGGATTTAGCTGATGGGGACGAGTGTCCTAAAGGTACCTGGTCTGTTAACGGAACACACGTTGAAGGATATGACGAATGTGAACAGTGCTACGAGGGTGAGTTCGCCAATATGGAGGGTAGTTTTGCCTGTGACATGTGTCCCGCCGGTACTTACACCCCCGAGATGGGGTACTGGGAGTGCATGAAGTGTTCTGCTGGAGCGATCACAACAGAGACTGGTGGCTACGATTGCTTCCCTTGTGATAAAGGAAAGCACAGTCCCATTGAGGGTGGAACCGTCTGTGAGGAATGTCTCCCCGGACACTTCCAGGACGAAGAAGGAGCAGCAGGGTGCAAAATCTGCTCGGCTGGCCAATACCAGGATGTTGCTGCTTCTACCGACTGCAAACTCTGCCCAGCAGGAACTTCCTCCCCGATGAAAAGCGGAGCATTTGATCATTGTTATGACTGTCCTGCAGGCAGCTACTCCCCTGTTGACGGCTCTGAGTGCCTTCTCTGTCCCGTCCTGAAGTACGGGGATGCAGCTGGAGCCACCGCCTGTAAGGACTGCCCCTCAAACTCTGATAAAGAAGGAGCTACCGAGTGCAAGATTGTGATCTGCCCTGAGGGTCAGGTTCCTGTTAATGGAGTTTGTAAAGCTTGTGCTGCCGGAAAGTACGAGACTGAAGGACAGTGCTTTCCTTGTGCTGCCGGAACATTCTCCGACCAAGCTGGCTCCGTGTCCTGTATCCTGTGTGGTGCTGGACATTACAGTGCTGAGGGTGCCGCACAGTGCGTGAAATGTTCTGTTGGACAGTTCCAGGACAGGACAGGACAGGCTTATTGCGGGGACTGTGCTGCTGGATACTACGGACCTGCCGCCGCTGCCGCTAGCTGTGTCAAGTGTGCTGCCGGGTTCTTCAACTCACAACAGGGACAGGCTGCTTGCCAAGAGTGTCCAGCTGGAACCATCACCGAGTTTGAGGGTCAGCTCTCCTGCCAGGAATGTGATGCTGGAAGCTACTCCATCTCCTCCTCTCAATGTGAGCTGTGTCCTGCCGGACAGTTCTCTGACGATAAGGCTGCCGTGTGCTCACTCTGTGCTGCCGGCTCCTACAACTCTCTTCAAGGGTCTCTCACTTGCGTGCCGGCTCCTGCTGGACACTTCTGTGAAGAGGGATCATCCAAACCAAAACCTTGTCCTAGGAACACTTACAATGATCTGGCTGGTGCTGCGTCTGCTGATAGCTGCAAAGCCTGTCCAGAGGGTGAAGAAACTGCCCAGGTAGCTGCAACGTCCATCAACCAATGCAAAGAAATGAAGTGTGTCGTCGGGTGGTATAGAGATCCTGATAAAGGCTGCCAGATCTGTCCTAAGGGTACATTCAGCAACATTGAAAACCCTGTCTCTTGCAGGTCCTGTCCTAGACACCAGTACAGCTCGGTCGAAGGAGCTGTGCAGTGCATGCAGTGTCCAGACACTGCATTCACTTGGTCTGTAGGAACCGACTCTCTGGAGGGCTGCATTGGACCCGTTATTGAGGTGTGCACCGGAGAAGACATGACTGGTAACTGCTACCGTTACTATGACAACGAAATGAAGTTAAACATCACAGTCCGATCTGTCAGGGTGATCAGTGGTGAGTTTGATTTGTTTGAATTATCCCACAAAAAGGGGTCCCGCAGGAGACTTTCTGAAAGACAGAGAGCACACAACGTGAATCAACTTGGCAGACTCTCTAACGTCGGATCCTTCGTTGCCCTCATAAACGACGTGTTCTGCAGCCTGGACCAGGGCTGGAAGTACCATGGATCTATCCGAAAGACCTCAAAGTCTGGCAAGGCCTGCATCAACTGGAGGCAGACTCCTGAAGCTGGCAGAGCGGCTCCAAACCACTTCTGCCAGAATCCTTATGGATACGGACACGCTACCAAACCCTACTGTTACATCAGCAAAACAGAGAAAGAAGATTGTGACATCCCGTCCTGTATCTGGGATATGGACTGCTTTTCTGTGTACGGGGCCAGCTATCGGGGCAAGGTCAGCGAAACAATCAGTGGGTACGGCTGCCAGAACTGGAACTTAGACTACCCGGTTAGTCACGACTACCAAACTCCTGAATTCAGCTGGGCTGGAGTCGGAGACCACACACTATGTAGGAACCCTTCTCCTAAGCCTGAGTATGGAAACCATTGGGAGGCTGGCCAGACAAAACCGTGGTGCTACAAGAACGCATTCTGGACATTTTTGGACTCCTGGGAGTACTGTGATATTCCCAAGTGTACCACATCTCAATTTGATTATTATCGTTTCTAAGGATGCACTCGAATTGTATGCAATTAATGATTGAAAAAACTCTAAGTATTGATGATTGAAAATTCATTTTAGAACTGTTTCTTTGTCCGGTTAAACTTAACTCACTAAATCAAAGTCAAGGAACCCTCTTCCAGTTAGAGAGGACTAATAGAACAATATTATCGTGTTGCAGAGACTGTTATGATAAGGAATAAATCAGCACACGTTATTTACCTCCACAACTGGACAAAAAGTCATCCACATTTCAGGCTTGGGAAATTAATCAAAATAACACGACTCATTGACTGTTTTACGGTCTCACTGGCTGACTAGCTAAGTACCTTCGATCTGTATCAGTTCACATTCAGGTTCCTCTTCCTCCCAAGTAAAGACCTCCCCGTCCCTACAAGTAATCACCTCGTCTCCGTCTATCTTGTAGCCCTTCTCACACCGCACTTTAACAGGGGTACCCCGGATAATAGGAAACTTCTCATCTGTAATCAGCCGGGAGATATTACCGGGTAGTCCAGTGCACTTACCTGACGAGCAATGTTAATCATGAGGGAGATTAGGAGAGAAGGGGGAGGGCAATTAGGGGAGGGGATCAAAGTATTGGAGTTAAGTACTTAAAGAGTTTTTAACGAGTAATAACTACGAGACATGCAGTAGACATTAGTAATTTGTTTTCCCTTTGTTCTTATAAAGATAAAATAATATGCTGATATGCGCGTCCTATAATGCTTTTACAGATACTGAAGAAAACACATATTATTATTTACTCAGTTTAAATCAGTTGAGAATTAACAAATTCTATAAATAAAATTCGTACCAGTAATAGAGCCGGGGTCACAAAGTTTACAAGTTTTCCGACAGAACGGTCTCATTTGATGATTCATATCGTTACAGATGCTCTCACTGCACTTCATATAGTCGTCTACTAAGCCTGTACCACATTCATCTGGGGGAGAGAGGTGTAAGTAGTCATATAAATCGTGTCTAATAATCATTTTACTGTCAAATTGTCGCTCAATCCATCTTTTATTAAAATGTCCTATCGGAAAGGGACTCACAGAAATATTGACCACCTTAACTAGTTTACTTACCACAATCGCCGCAGGTTTTTGCACAAAGCGGTCTTTGTTCAACGTTATTGCAGTACTGATCTTGGTTTCTGGAACAAATGGACACTTTGTCTTGACACTTATCTTTCACTGAAATATCATTTAAGTATTGGGCTGAGAAGAAAACAAGTAGTTCAAATATACTCTCGTAAACGCGCACTTCATAACATCTAGATAGTGAATATGTATATGGATTATAGCAGCTTCGTTAAAAATTCGAATATTAAGTCACAAGTTGTAAACTAATTAATAAAACAAATAATTATAAAACAACTTCGATAAGTTTAATTCCCTCACCCTTGTAAAGATTCTTAAGTTCCTTGATATCGTTTTCTCCGAGCTCCAGCAGCTCTTGTTTTCTCATACCACTAAAATCCCAGTACATCGCATCCTGTTTCACGAGCGTGTGCCTGCAGATTTTGGAATTTAAAATCAGGCAGAAGTGCAGTTGCCCGAAAACTCTCTGAAACTGTTCGGGCACAGGATCTTACTTATAAACATGCAGTTCCATTAATTACAGGAATTTTAAATCACCCACCTGAGTCCCAGACTATGTCCAAATTCATGTAAAGCAATAGAGTACAAGTTTGGCTTTACGTAATCGTTAAAAGTCAGATCTTTCTCAGTTAACACCTTATCTGTCCACGTCATCAACTCGTTAAAATGAATATCACCTGTAGAGTATAATCAGTGTTACCGTCTTATAGTTATGACTTTAAGTTAATGGTAAGACAAATGAGCGAGTATCAGTCCAGCTGAAATAAAGTTTGTGAAGACAGAAAATACCACAAAAAACAGAGTGATTCGAAAATAATGTTGATATATTACACATTTGTACATACCGAAGAAATGAGCGTGAGCGTAAACTCCCTCACAATCCTCCCCATACTCCTCCAGGAATGCGTTAGGGTTCTTATCCCGGTGTTTCAAGTGGTTGCAGGGCTCGAAGCTCACTATTATATCAACACCCTGGTAGTCAGTTGGAAAGTCTGACTCAGAGTCGTTAATGTTATAGTCTGCAGATTGTAATTCGTCCATTTCTTCGGTGTCGTTACTAAACTCATCTTCGTTGCTGTTATTGTTGTTCTTTTCGCTGTTATTGTCGAAGTCTTGGTTGTCTTTAACTTTGTTGCTATTTTTAATATCCTCAATATTCACCAACCTGTTGAGTAAGATCATTGCAATGAGATGATCTTTTAGGAAAATATCTTTTTTAATCTTACAATTACAGTACCAACGCGAAAATTTAAACCATGCTGATAGTGATAGAATTTGTTTTGAATCGGGTTTAGATTAAGGTCAAGATAAGTTTTAGGGTTACCGGTCGGAAAACCCAGTCCTAATTGACACACGTACACGTACGCTGCAACCCCTTTTGATCGCACGAGAGAGGTATACAACGTGTAGCAAAGTCCTAATGTATACAACGTGTAGCAAAGTCCTAATGTATAGAAATTAATATAAATAATATATATATATATATAAATTAATGTTGCACCCACATAACATTAGCCCCCTCAACTTTATTCCACGTCTCTGCAGCATTGTCAATAATCATCTTTACTGTTGCGGCATCTTTTATATCAGTACACTTTGGTAAGTTGTCGATCTTATAAACCACTTTCTGAAGAAATTGGATAGGATGTTCAAATTTTACTACTCTTGGACGGATCATTATTTGAATTTCTCACATATATTAACTAGAAAAGATATTAAATTATTTATATGATGATGAAACTTGAAAGTAAGAGCTATCATCTCCTGCAATAAATTGAAATTTACATCTGTGACCCTTAAGGTTACAAGCACTACTAACAATTAAAACTTTTAAAAACATACCCGTCCGTTCCAACTACGTTGCATGTTAAAACCTGCAATTTCCTCTTCAATTTCATCGTCTAAACTTTTGTCTAGGAACGATATACCGCGCTGAAGTATATATGGTTCGGAGTAACTTTCTAATCGAATCAATTCATGCAATAAAATCAAACAATAATGTACCATGATGATGAAGTTTAAAAAATTTCTTCCAAACTTCTATGCGCAACGACCTTTTTCGAATTCACAAATGATCGATCCTGGTAAATATTTGTCAGCATAACTATAATGTCAGTTTTAAATATAATTTTACCTTGTAACATGTATCATCTTGTTTTGAATCTTCCCAGATATCATTTTTAGAATTAGAGCTTCTGTACCCGTAAGTGTTGCCAAGTTTATAGTCCGAGCTTCGTGACAGGACCCCACAATGCACACAAAGTAGGAGAAAACACAAAACTATTTTCATGATCCGTTCTGATAAGGAGAACCAATTTTCGGATTAGATTCACCGACTTTAACACGAATCGGTAAAATTCAAATTGAGCATGTAAAGTGTGGTTGTTACTCGGATGATGATCTTGTTGGTCTCAAAGTAAATATTGAAATTCAAAAAAAGTATATTTATTATTATTAAAATTAATAGTTAAAAGCGTCATATGTATCAAATAGGTGGGCAAACAACAAACAAGCATAATCGAGAGTAACAACGTAAGCAAACATAATCAAGAATTGTGAGGTAGACACATTGATCCAAATTTAAAAACTTCACTCGGAAAAGACCGCTGATGAGTGATGAAACATAATTTACAAAGCAACCTTTGACCGAACCTTGCAACGTTGGTCGTAAAAATAAAATATGATCTTGAAACTGCCCTACCTTTATACTCCTATTTTCGGTGACGGAAGTAATTGGTGTGCTTTAACTTAAAAGGTTCACTTTGAAAAAAAATAGACTGTTCGGTGAATTACGCACCGGAAGTACTAATGTTTTATTTACATTAATATTTGTTGAATAGATCCAAAATTCCCACATATCATATTAATATCAAAAAGAGATAAAATCAAATTAAGCAACACTGCAACAAAAGAAGCCGAAATGAAAGACTACGAATGTTCCCCCTCCCCCAATAATGATCAGTCACAGTCTGGCCAAGGCACCGAAACCACCCTTTACCTCCCTTTGCTACGTCACTAACTTTATGTTCTATTCCATGAGGGACCTGCATATCATAACATAACTCATAACTTATCATTAGAGCTTTACTAACAATAATTATATCTTATGGTAAGTTTGTAAACAGACGAAACCTTTAAATCCCCTGTGAGCTAGACCGATGTAAAAGATAAATATCTCCTTTAGCTTTGATATCAGGGTGCCATTAATTGCTTGAAATTTGACAGACTAATTAATCTAAATAGCTTCTTTTATTTGCATAGGATCACTGTCGTAAAAATTAAAAATTGAGGGGAGGAGCGTTGGAGAACAACAACTTTATTTTGATATACTATCTCTATAGAATATATTTTTCAAGTAAATTCTTTTTTTCAACAATCAACACTAATGCTGTGTTTTAAAATCACCTCTTCTCTTATTCTCCGGCCCCTCGCAACCCTTGCACTACACATAGAGTAAGAGTAATCAGTAAGGAGTCCTGAGGAATAAACCGAGGAGTTGAATTCTCGTGAGAAGAGAACACTAACAGATAGACGAAACTATGCTATTTTATTAGGTATCTGGTATAATATGTTTATGACTCTAGGTATTGTGATTTGATCTTTGTTCATTCCATGTGAATAAATTCATTAGAGCTCCTATAAATCAAATTAAAAACTAAAGTTACAGCAACACAGATTGTGGTTGTAATTATTTGAATTGCAGGTTTTACCATCCAATAATAACCAGCTGTCACTACTAGAAGTACAAATTGTAGCAGTACAACTGAGAGAGCCTCACCAAAGACTTGTTAATTGTTATCAAAAAGTAAAAAGCACGTACCACAAGAAAAATGTTACTTGCGACGAATGTTCATGTTTATTAAGTCATTTAACATTTGACAAGTGTAGCATTATCAATAGATGCTAACGACTCTATATCTTAGAAGTCTTAAATCGATCTTGCAGTTCCACTATAAATAACGAGACAGCTGCAAAGGTAAGTGCTAATAACTGCTACTGAACATATTGATTGAGTAATTGATTTATAAGACTACTCTAAAGACGGCCGAAACAAAACTGAACACTTCTGCACAATTGCGATACAGCTCCAGTCAATTTGATGATATTTTGAACAAAGTGATATCATCGTTCATTCTTCTAAACGTCAAAAATTTAATGCAAGCGTGGCAGACAAAGAAAAGGTAATGAGTAGAAATCTGGAGATGATACCTTTATGCCAGTTTGTATACTATAGGAGTATTAGTATACATACTAATACTCCTATAGTATACAAACTGGCACTAAACATTCAACTCCATGCGGGAAATGTATAAAGAGTAAAATTTGTCAGAGATGAGCATCCAGGAACGAGAATTGCGGCGTGAAAAAAAGACAGGTCTAAAAATGAATCAGAATGTAGGATCTAATTTACGGAAATCTGCGATCATCTACGAAGTGATAGATAATAAGAGACACACTCCAAGTTCTGTTTACTGGGCGGCGCTCAGCTCAGCCTGTCATTGAACATTATAGCCGGCCTGGGGTCCCCAGGTAAAATTATGTACGTGGGACATGCTATCAACGTACTTACCAACAAGCTTTATAAAACGCAAAATACGTTTATTGGAAATATCGATGAAAGGCGACGAAAGTGAAATAATTATTCAAAACTGCCATGAGACATTTTCATTCCAGAGCTGAATTACAAATATATTTATCCCGGAGAGGTTACGAATGATTATCATATACTGATATATGAATTTCCCGATTCCGGAAATACTTATACTGATATGCTTACTAAAAATATATTTAAAGATATATTCTAAAATGCATCGTCCACTTCAAGTTGAAGTGGTAAGACTGATGAAACAATTTTGTCGAATGAATAAATTACTTCTCATTGGTTTATATAGCATTTTATTTCAGCCATATTCACTGCCAACGTCATTACCTAATTAGGTAATCATTATTGATAGTATCAGGGCTGCAACAAGTGCACGCAGTTCAGCATCATTGTTTTCTTAAACCATCATTGTTTACAAAACCGGTCCGTCAAGCGATATTGTGTAATGGTCTAGACAATTGCACAAGAAACCGCCGTGGTAAAAACAAATGCCCAAAATGTACCATTCAATAGTTTGTCATGCCACCCTGTCTGCTACTAATACTATTCAAGTGAATATCTCGTGACGAGGTATTTGATTGTTTCCCTGACTTCCTCTTGCTAGTTGGACAATATCCAGGTTAAGTTATTGGTTCAAGTAACTATTTTTCTCTTTACAATTACATTTGTAAAACAATTTGTATTGTCCCGGGCCGCGCACTGATCATTTGATTGGAATTTCATGACGTCATAAAGTTGATTACGTCACTGTTCTTGGCATGAAAACTATTTTCCTGTTAAATCGCTCATCATTACGGAGTATTGATAAACAAGCACAAATTCTTTACAACTGTCTGAGTAGAAACGTAATTAGACATACCATTCTTTGGATGAGCTGGCACAGGTTCAAAAAGAAAGTTAATTAAACGTAAAGTAGAAACATGATCAAATATACGATTAAAGTCTATTCCCTGTCTGCTGTAATTGTCGTGAAAATCACGTGGCAAGGAATTCAATTGTTTTCTTTACTTCCTCTTGTATTGTTGGCTGGATTATTATCCATTATCCAGGTTTAAAATATAATAATAAAGTCTTTATAAATTACAAATCTCTTAAGTTGCAGCGAAATAAATTCAAAAGCTCGTTCTGTAGATCAGTATGCAGTATGAGTAAGTGGATCAAACAACTATTTGACCTGGCGAAATAAACGTACTATTCATTTAGATGAGCTGGTTCAGAAAGAAAATTAATTAAAGGAAGGTGCATGCTGGGCAACTTCAAAACACCTGCCAACAATCTTAATCCTCTGTTGCAGCTGCAATTTTAATTAGAACAACAAAATCTTTAGCTAATTGATTCTTGGTCTATGTTCATAGTCTATTTACATTTTGCGTGATATCAATCTTAATACCATGGTCATTATAAGGTCTAACAGTAAAGCTTCAAGTTATAAATATAATTAATCAGAATCAGGTGGGAAGAAGGATGCAGCTTTAGATCATAAGCTCGTTCATATTTCAATTTAACTGAGCACTATCAATGATCAAACTTGACAAATGACATGAAGGACTAACGAGTAGCTACTCTCTAGTTAAAATAGAGTTGCAGTCTTCTGTTGTTACATCACATGTGTTGTGACACTGCAACAGAACGTTCAATAAACACTGCTCCCTGGATATACTACATACTGATCCTGGCAAAGGAGCTGGTACAATTATATCTTACATTACAATTATACATGATAAACAGATGATTAATTCGAATCTTCAAAGGGCAGGGGTTTGATTGTTTAGGAATGATTATAGACTTATGCAATGATTATAGACTTGTTATAAGCCGCATCATGTATACAGTATCTAATAGCCCACCCTCCTACCAGTATCCAAATTTGTGTGTCATTGTATGTTGTCTATATAGATTACTTTGCGTCCATGATAACCGTTTTGCGTACCCTGTTTAGGCTATTTGTGTCTGTCACTCTGCCAATCTTCATAATTTATTCGTGTTTACACTATAAGCCTGGGTCCCCAGGTGATATGTGTTGTGTACTACTACTAAGCAAAAAGAGACTATTTTTGTCCCCAAAAAGTTTTATTTTTTTTTTCACCGCAGAGTTGGCTATTCTGCAACAAGAATGAAATATTATGCGATTAAAGCGTTATCATATTATACAACTCCAAACAGCATAATAAAACCTGCATATTACTCATTTGCAAGACAACACAAGAATTACCCACCACCGTACACAACACGAGCCCTATGTGAGGTAGGTTTATAGATGAAATATGGATTATGGTGGGGAGGCGAGTCAGATTTGTTTACACGTGACAGAAATTCACCAATCAGCTTCGACTATTGACCACTCAAACCCCAGAATCACTGTCACGTGTCAAGGAAAATATGCCTCATATCCTCACCCGAATCCAAATCTATTGAATAGGAAACATTTCTCACATGTCAGTAGTCTGTATAGTCGGTAGTCTGCGTCCTAATACTGGGATTTATTTTTTCTAAAACATAGCATGCACTATTCCTATTTCTTGGTATTTGTTAAGATGCAATAACTCGCATTGTATTGAACCCAAGGTAACTATTCAGTGCCAAACTCCAATAATTCTCTGTAATTGGCCGCGGTAAGGAGACTGTCTGGTAAAGTAGAATGATATCAGCCTGAACCAGTTTCACGCCACACGAGAGCACTGTAACGTGTCTGATATTCCTGAAGTTCTAGAATATTTGCTACTAAATTGTGCAATAATATTGTGTACCATGGAGTACCAGTCCTCAGTCTGTATGGAGGTATATTATATATCCTAAATCCTAATATTATACATATTGATATTTATAATATATTATTATATAATATTATTACTCGCGCAAAGTCTGAACGATTAGGTTTAGTTCATATGCAGCTTGTAAACCTACAGAACTTTACTTAATTAACTAAGGATAATCAGCCTTAAGGTAGTTTATATGATTCATATTTTTATCTGTCACATCTTATTTACAATATCCCTTCGACCAATGTAACGTATCTATGGTTTTGATATAGTCGAACTAAGGTGTGACCACTTAATGAATTAATAAACAAAGCACACACCCGTATTTGCTTAGTTCTTCTGTTTTAGACAATACTTCAAAGCGTTTGGTGAAAAGATCTACCGGCCTCAGATGTTCCGTACAATGCCAGGATCTTACTTAAAATTTTATTAATTTTCCCGCAAACAAATTAGCGAAAGCCTGAAACGTTAATGATAAATTAGGTGGGTTCTACGTGCGTACGTACGTACGTCCTTCTTGACGTCAAGAAGGCTGTGACGTCACGTTCATCCTTCTCATTACGTCAAACAGGTTTAGAAACGTCATTAGCGTTTGTCTTTAGGTTTCCAATTTACTTAAATAGTATAATGAGTGCCTTGGTACGAACTTGTTCACTCGTTTAGAGCTTTAAAATTTAAAATTAAATGAAAGAACGAAGTAAAAAGCGATATTTTCAATATTTATTGTGGCCTATTGACAGAGATGTGCAGAACTGCAGTAAAAACATATTTATTATAATCATTACAAAATTCCTAAATTAAATTTACCCCAAAAGTGAATAAATGTGGCTAGGAAAAATGTTAAAAAGTGCTCTGAAACATCGTTGTATTTACCAAGAACGAGTCAAACAGCTCCTTTGAGCAGTACACTACATACTATCACACGATCGCAATAAATTGGCCACACACAAATTCACATTCAGACAATATACACCACTCTAGAGGCTCGAACATTTCCAACAGTGTTTGTAGTCCTCATCAGGTAGCACATTCAGCGATATTTCATCCGTAACCACATTTGTGTGCATATTCAAATAGCGGTTTCAAACAGTAGTGGGTATAATTTAAAGCAAGCTCAAATAAGCCAATCAAACAGCAGGATAGAAGTCACGTGACTTAAATCAGAGCCTACTATTCGCTCAGTTCGGGCTACTCAACAGTCAACAACGCCTAATACTCCATATTTACTACGTATCGTGAACGCACAGTTGAATGTAGACCACGTGGCAGCTGATATGGAATGCTGGGGGTGCTCTCCAGTTGAAAGCTTGAAATATTCGCTGAGTGTTGCTGTGTCTCATACATACCAATAACCACAGACAACCACGGTTTGTTTTATAAAATAATTCAAATCAAAAATTTCATCACATGTAAAGCTTCTATATCCCGGACAGAATTTTAAAATTTCACCGTCAAATTGTACAATAGTAGTGTATCATATCATTAAATCTCAATTCAAAAAATCACTCGGCAAAAGTAAGCATCGTGTTATAGAGTCCGAATAAGCAGTTCAGAATATAATGTTGTCAATTTAAATTTGCCCCTGGATTGCCAGTGTTCTAAGGAGACGAGGCACCTTGATTTGACACGAGACAGTAATTGATTAATTAATTAATTACAGAATTGACCAATCGACTGCCAGGTGGCTGTCACACGAACTTTAGGGGCCAATTTAAACTGACAAAATCATATATGAAGCAAGAAGCATGAGCACGGTAAAGTTTTCATAAAATCTCTAATAGCATCTGAGGAGATCAGATGAAATCAACGCTTGAAATGTTTTGCAGGTTTTCTCGAAAAAAATGTCTACAAAACATTTGTATATAAAAAGAAAGTTAAGTATGCAATTCATTTTTATCTATCAAGTTTGCAATTTCAGTAAAAATACAAAAACCACTCAACCAACTGCGAATTGGTTCTTTACGAGAAACGGCACCGGAACAAGAATTCCAGCGTAAAGAAAAGGCCGTTGGGTCCTCAATAAAATGGAAGGTAATGGATTTAGGATACATTAATATATCTTCCCAAACCATTTTAGCGTGCAGTATTTAATCACTCACATCGTAGTAATGCTTTGTGTCTATTAACCTAGTTAAAATAGTCATTGCATTGACTTGTACCGAAACGAAAGAGATTTTAACGTTAAAAAACTAAAATCTGCAGTGCAGCCTCTTTATCAGTCCGTGAGCTCTAAGTTAACAAAGATTTTCAAGATTAGCCCTTAGCGTTGGCAGTCAGCCAGTTAAGTCCTTCGTAAAGCCCATCGCCTGTAGTCGAGCATGAGGGCTGGACAAACCTGCGGGGTTTTGTTTTTAAAAGATGGTTGTTGAAAAAGTAATTTAAGAGTGTGATGTGAACGGAACTAAGGTGTATCAGAAAAAGGGGATCCTTTCCAGATTAGAGGCAACAGTCGTGTTTATTTTTAAATGTTATTAAATAAATTGTAAAACATTGCTTAGTCAATTTAAGTACTGGTATAAATAGTAGATTAACAGATTTTATTCGTACCATTTTCTGTCGGCGATCTTTGACAAACCAAGCTTTTCTTGGATTTCAGCAGGCCTCATGGCTGAAAAATCAACGGTTAGTGATAATACCATAACAAAAGTTGTATCGTAATTGTAACTTGAGTGGTCTGGTTTGAACATTATTTTTAACTTTTCTTCACAAATTCGAGAAGTTAGTTCTGAACATTATTTTTAACTTTTCTTCACAAATTCGAGAAGTTAGTTCTGATAAGAGAGCATTTCTCCTGCTTTAATAAAGGGACTCGATGCACTTTTAAGTAGAGCGTCAACAAAGAGTAGACATTTTGTTTTCCAAACGAATCGAGCATGTTTCCCACGAAGCAAGATGACGGCTCGTTCGATTAGAATTGTAAGTCGTTGGTAATTACCAATTATAATAGATCCCAAATTAATCAGTATGTTTTATTTGATTGGACATTAAATTATCGCTCTTATGTATATTTCATTGCAAAATAAGTGCTCAAATTATATTGTAATCTAGACTAATTTCAAACTGTGTATAAAATGTACTTTCAGCCAAGTACACAAAATGGTACAGCGTACACCATCTACATACGATTAAATTGCTAGCAATAAGCAGCTTGAGGTGCCGCGCACTGCGCGCGCAAAAGTTGTAACTGTCACGCGGCCAAAAGAAAACCGCCTCAAAATGTGGCTATTATTCCGTATTGCGCTGGCCAATGTGCAATATATAAAACCAGCGAAAGTGGAAGAAGTGCAAAATCTCTACTGCCAAACGACTTGTCACATTGTAACAATTTGAGAGAGTTTAAACACAAGGGCGTGGCATTGTTTGGTTGAGATGCTGTCACAACTTTTAACAAGATATTAGATCACTAACCTATCTTACGTGTGAATTTCTATTTTGACTTTATAATTCTGATAAAATAGTACACACCTACGCCTGTGTGATCTACAACTAATTCCGTACACAAATATTTGAAATACTTGTGACATACCGTCTTGAAGATCTTGCTTGTTCGCAAATATGAGAATTACTGCCTCCCTCATTTCTCTGTCGTTAATTATTCGATGCAGTTCGTGTCTTGCTTCCTCGATTCTGTCTCTGTCAGCGCAGTCCACTACAAATATGAGACCCTGCCAAAAGATAATTGGTTAAATCAAAATTAATCATATATGGACAATACTGCCAATAATACAAATTTCTGACGTTTTGGAGAAATTGCACTTCCTCAAGAATCAATTTTATTATTATAATAACCTGCTGGAGATTAAGCTACATATGCAGAATTGATTTATTGACTTCTGAATGAATGAATAAACGAAGGAATTAATGAAGTGGACGAGGAATCAATCTCCTTTTCATTTGCAGTACCGCCACGGTCCCCTTGGTACTGATTTCACTGCCTCCCCACACGTATCTACTAGCACTATCTACACAGCTGACAGCTCTAAATAAATAAAAGGGATTTCTGGATCCCGACTTTTATAAAGTAAGGCAGTGGTTGCAACGTGCATGATACATGATATTAAAATAGTTAGTACTCAAGATACGATATCCACTGTGTGGAGTGTGTATGTCTTGTGTGTAAGCAGGTCGATATCAAGTAGGAACTAGTTTTCTGAAGAATGCAAACTTTTATCTTACGATAGTCGATATGCAATATCTACTCAGGAGTCAGGATATTCCACGTTTCACATTCATAAATATCAGGATATAATAATTACAACTACTTTACACTTTAATACCCAATGAAAAAAGAGTTGTAAAATAGAGAAAAATGTAGAGTATTATTGCAGTTACAGAGGTAGAAAATATTCTGAAATTAAGCGAACATTCCATGCCATAGTCCATAGCCTACTGTTTTACAGTGTTAACAATTAGCTTGAAGAAGAACTCCAAATCGTGAGCCTTAATTGTAAAATATGTGAATTATGCGAATTATGCACAAATAATTACATTACGCAACGATCTGACATTAGTAACAAACAAATAGTTGAATCACAAATAATGCGGGGGCCCTTTTAATATAATTAAGGTTGATAGTTAAGGTCGATAACTGGTCATATTATCGTCAGGAATCTCAGGTTCTAGTACCAAGAATAGGTGTGCGTGTGCATCATTATTACTATACAGTCATGAAACATAAGTATGCACATTATGTACGTATGTGTGTCAATATGATCGTTTAGTATGATATATAATTACTAATTAGCGTTATAATTAATTAATGTAATTACCTGTGTACCCGCAAAGTAATGTCTCCAAAGAGGTCTAATCTTGTCCTGACCACCGACGTCCTGTAAAAAGATAAAATTAGACATAACATACATAATATACAATCATAAATACATATAATACACAATTATAAATTATAAGATAAAATTAGTAACTTCAAGTGAAACTCCCCAGTTCGGACCTGTATGACGCCAAATTATCAACAAGGAATGAGGCTCAATACATCAATACAGTCGCCAGGAGCCATTACTTCGAATAATAAACTGGCCAGATTTTAAGGTTTTATCTTATTATATATATATAATTCATGGAAGTGGAGAACTTCACAATTAACAGTCTCATTGGCTACATTTTGTAGTCAATTCTGTAGAGCAAGCATTAAGCAACTCTAGAACAGTAAAAGTTAGGACTTTCAAATGTCTGGCTCGTACAGTACAGTACAGGCAGACATTACATATATTATAGTAACAAGACTGTCAGGAGATACATTTGCTTCCACTCAGTTGCCACCTCAGTTACCACCTCCCTTCTCAGTTACCACCTCCCTTCTCAGTTACCACCTCCCTTCTCAGTTACCACCTCCCTTCTCAGTTACCACATCCCTGCTCAGTTACCACCTCCCTGCTCAGTTACCACCTCCCTGCTCAGTTACCACCTCCCTGCTCAGTTACCACCTCCCTGCTCAGTTACCACATCCCTGCTCAGTTACCACCTCCCTGCTCAGTTACCACATCCCTGCTCAGTTACCACCTCCCTGCTCAGTTACCACATCCCTGCTCAGTTACCACCTCCCTGCTCAGTTACCACATCCCTGCTCAGTTACCACCTCCCTGCTCAGTTACCACATCCCTGCTCATGTTTTCTTCTCCCAACATAGTATCCTTGTACAGAAACCAAGGAGCAAATAGGAATTGTTACGGAGCGACTGAGCGAGACAACGAATTAGCTTACTAAAAGCTGCTCTGACAGGACACGTTTGGTGACTAATTTGTTGTCTCATTTCGTAACATTTCTAAAGAAAGAGTCATGGCACTATTACACACATTACCATTAAATACATTGACTAACACATTATCATGATACGTCTCATACCACTGTGTTTGTTTTTAACAAACAAGTATAACTAGTAACTAAAAGTTGCATAATAATATAACAAGTTAGGAATCTTCACGAAGCCAGAAGATCATGTCCATGTCGATAGTATCAATGTATAAGACTGCTACATTAATATACCCATATAGCTGTGAAGCTGTGTTATACCCATGTTTTAACCACCAACAGACACAGCTAACTTAGTAACTTAGCAACTATATACTGGTCACGTGCTAGATCTGACAGGGTCACGTGCTAGATCTGACATGGTCACGTGCTAGATCTGACAGGGTCACGTGCTAGATCTGACAGGGTCACGTGCTAGATCTGACAGAGTCACGTGCTAGATCTGACAGGGTCACGTGCTAGATCTGACAGGGTCACGTGCAAGATCTGACATGGTCACGTGCTAGATCTGACAGGGTCACGTGCTAGATCTGACAGGGTCACGTGCTAGATCTGACAGGGTCACGTGCTAGATCTGACAGGGTCACGTGCTAGATCTGACATGGGCACGTGCTAGATCTGACAGGGTCACGTGCTAGATCTGACAGGGTCACGTGCTAGATCTGACAGGGTCACGTGCCACTTGCTAGATAGGTCTGACAAGGTCTGACGGAGATATAGACGCAGTACAAGGTTACAGCGGGCTTGTTCCAAGTGTTGACACGCCCGCATGGCCCGTAGATTAGCACGCGATTAATTGCTCTGTTGTAATGTGTTGTAATGTGTTGTATTATCACTGTAACTTATTCTTAACTAACATTGACACGGTTTGCCGCCAACTGCCAAGTGTTTATTTTGGTTGGTGTGTATGTACTGTGTGCTGGCAAACAATTTTAGGTCCTTATATGGGTAAAACTGGAATATTTACATCGAGTAAATTTATATTTCATAACTGACAACTACCGTAGGTCACTAAGAGGATCGCAATAGTATTATCACGTAATATTAGGGTAAATTACAAGCCGGCGTTTATTTTAATTTTGACAGACTGCCCCACCCAAGGTTTAAATCAGTGAGCATGTCCTCACGGCTTATATTGTGTACAAAAAGCAAAAGACGAGACTTTCGGGTTTTTAGATATTAATACGTGTTAAAGAAGGAACTATGTGTAAATAGATTTAGTGCAGACATGTTGATAATAAATATTATATTAATTTAAAGGGAAATAAACACTGACAGTATATTGATGTACCCTGTAGTAATAACAATATCCTGTATCAATAGTTAGAGAGCGCGTTATATCCTGGGTGATATCACATATCCTCTGATAAGAGAAACCACACAAGCCCAGTCAAGACACATGTATACTTCCTGGTATATGGTGACGGGATTTGTACGTCATCGTACAGGGTAGTTGCCTCCCTAGTCTCGGCTATATAGTGTGTACATGTGTGTGTAGGGTGTATGTTACATGTGTAGTGTATTGTACAATGTACATGTTAGTGTATTGTACGTGTTAGTGTATTGCACGTGTTAGTGTATTGCAGGTGTTAGTGTATTGCAGGTGTTAATGTATTGCAGGTGTTAGTGTATTGCAGGTGTTAGTGTATTTTACGTGTTAGTGTATTGTACGTGTTAGTGTATTGTACATGTTAGTGTATTGCACGACGCACGTGTTACTGTATTAAACGTGTTAGTGTATTGACTATTGTACGTGTTAGTGTATTGTACATGTTAGTGTATTGCACGTGTTAATGTATTGCACGTGTTAGTGTATTGCATGTGTTAGTGTATTGTACGTGTTAGTGTATTGCACGTGTTAGTGTATTGCACGTGCGTCTTCGTAAAATACCGAGCAAAATATATAAAACATTAAGCACAGTTCAAGTTCATGTTGACATCTATTAATGGGTGAGGGGCCAGGGAAAGGCATTTTCTTAAAATTCCTCAGAAGTAAGATCCTGCTTGTATCCTATGTCAATACACGTGTGTTGCTATAATAACACATCATACGTACAATGACGCAATACAGAACACGGAACACGAATATAATTCTGATAATCCAGTCCAATCTGATGATCTCCAGAAAAGTATCAAGTTTCAAATTCTCTTCCTCATTTCAGAGTATTTTCACTGTAAAGGTTACAGCAGACTGCATGAGATAAGGATTTAATTAATCCGTCATTAGTCTAGCAGCTAGCTCGTTTCTGTAAAGTTAAACCAGGGTTTAACCAAGTGTACTGATACTTAACCAGGGTTTATGGTACAGTGAGTTCTGCTTCACGTTGAAATAAAGTTATTATAATATGATAGGCATTTAGCCGCTTACCCTATTGCTATCATCATAGGATGTATTCAAAAACAATGATAATACTTTTAACTTTCTTACGGCGCCAAAATGTTCGGAATGTCCAATAGTCAGTATTTCTTGAAATCTTGTTATATTAGTACAATAAGTATCTTTGTTCACAACAGCTTCAAAACAGTCACACTTCGAATGACGTCACGGAACGATTTTAAACGGAAACAATAAAACGAAGTAATCTGAGTATTAAAACAGATCACATGGTAATACACTGCACTGTTTTAAGGATAATCTGAGAAAATTAGCGCGGCTGAAGCTTACATGTGAACTGATTAGAGTCTGTGTATCTACACGTGCTATTTATAAACCAGCATATCCGTTAACAGAATCACAGTTCAACCGACTTTAGATTCATCACAATTTCCAGGAAAATCAGTGGTCCAACATTTTATATCATTCCACTTAAAATTGTATGACGTCTTAATATCTTGACATAATTTTAGTACTTAAGTGGATTTCCGCAGAATATCAAATAAATTCTATCCTATAGTCCTGAGTAATGAACAGTAAGAGTATAGCGAACAATCGCACTATCATCCTCGTACAAGGCTTGTTGCACAATGCTATTATTAACTTACAGTACTTTACACTGTCCAGACATTCATCACCACAACTTTAAACCTTTATATAGCTTTTATATACTGTTAACAATTAACAATTATTAACAATTAACATATTATTAACAATTAACATATCATTATTATAAAAATGTATATAAATAGTTTTCCGACCCCTACACAAGTTACAGTGTGAAATAGACGAATGTTTACAGAGAATGTTTTTAACTCCATGTACACCAGAATGGTAATGTAATAGTGTAAAAACGTGTGTGTAACGCTGGAATTTCAGTTATTTTCACCGATTATGAAACTGCAAGTTATTTGTCCGGTAATGTAATGATATTGTAATACTTTAATAAGATAATTAGCAGTGGGTGTAGTACCTCACTTAGCGGGGTAGTTCAACACTTAGCGGGGGTAACAACTGATCTGTAATATTTCCTACAGGTTTGCTGTATCTGAAAGCTGGTCACGTATTGGAAAGGTACCTCAGTATACTATAGGACGAGTTAGTACTGTTTATTAATATTTTAGTAGTATATAATAATAATTGATAATACTGCATATTCTCATATTATATTGCATTGTGTTACAGCACTGTACAGTGTACTTATACTGAAGTTGACTATAGCTATAGTGTATCATAATATATTATAGTACTGTTATATCATACCCATCATAGTATAATGATCGGTGTGATTCTTTTTTATCTAAAATTAACATTCGAAATATCACAGAGTGTCGAGTGAGACAAATGACAATCCAGCCTTCTAAAAGTTGAATGTAGGATAATAACAATCACCCAGGATCATGATCAGTTGATCTATGTTTTATGAATGTGATGATTGTTAGTCGACATTTTTATACGTAGTTGGTTAGATTCATTGTTAGATTCATTGTCATTTGTCTTACAGTATGTTATAAAATTATATAATATATTGTACAATGCTGTATATCTTTATATTGTACGTGTGCTAGTGCCTAGTCCACACTTGCAATACTACCACACCTGCAATACCTTATACCACTACATAGTATTTTTATGTATTTAATTGATGTGAACTAACCACGAAATATTGTACAAATAATACCATCTTTT